GTATACTAGGTTAGTAGATAGTATTTAAATAATATTCTATATTAGGTTTACTTCTATTATTATATACTATTACTATACTATTTAACTAGCCTTTACTCTACTTACGTTAATACCTATTAGAGAGCTTTTATAGATATATAATATTTATATATTATCTAGGCTAAAGATAGAAAATATCTATTTTATTTATACTAGTTTAGACTAGACGCTATAGTCTACTTACGTTATAGCTAAGTTATTTAGTAAAACTTTTATAAGTATTAAAGCCTTATTAAAGTTATAGTATAGAATAGCTTAGATATATTACTCTACTATAACGCGTAGTGTTCTTCTAAAATATTAGATAATCTTCTCTACTAGCCTAGGTAGAGCTTACTCTCTAATACTCTATTTAATCTCTTCTATCTTTATAGCGTAGGTTACCTTTTAGGCCTAATTTAGTTATTTACTATCTAGTTTAAATAAAGGTGCTACTTAATTAACCTATAGTCTAGACGCCTAGCTAGAGTAGTACTTTATTAATTCTTTCTACTTAGTATAGGCGACTTCTATAGTTAGTAGAGTAACGCTATCTCTTTCTACTAGTATCTAGGTAATACTATTAAAGAATAGTACTTCTATTCTAGTAATTACCTTATTAAATAGCTCTACTACGTAGATAAAAGTATTAGCTAGCCTATTACCTACTAGATAAGTCTAACGTAACTATAGTATATCTATAATAGATAGGTTATATAACTAGATATATATCTACGCTAGAATTATTAGAAGGTATCTAATATTAGAGTTAGCTACCTAGTAGTCTACTATATAATTATAAATAGTCTAATAGATAAATTACTATACTCTTATCTTATATATCTTAGCTTTAATAAGAGTTATAGAAGCTCTAATACTTCTATAAAGGCTATTATAACCTATATCTAGATATAAGTATTTATATACGTTAAGTATAGATATATAGAGTAACTATACTTTAAACTTAGTAGAAATCTATAGTATTCTCTATCTCTTAATAGAGTTTTATAGACTAAGCCTATAGTAACGCTAGAGCTATAGCTTATTCTAGACAACCTATATAGAAAACTAGTTAGTAACTTAGCTATAGATCTAGTAGTAGCTATACTAGATAGATAGTATTTACTCTAGTATAAAGTAGCCTAGAGAGAAGCGTAGTATCTACGCTAGTACTATAGTAAAGATAGTATTTAGCTTCTACTCTACTATAGAGGTAATATTACCTATACTAGATATAGAGTTTATAGTCTATATAGCTATCTCTACCTCTAGTATCTACTAGTTATATTTAGTAAGCTAGAAGTTATTAATATATTTAGTAGATAGGTACTAGTAGTCTTAGTACTCTAGCGTGTTAGGCGCTACTTCTAGCTCTAGAAGTAGCGTATAGCTAATAATTTCTAATAGGTTACTAGGTAACGCTAGAAGTAGTAGAAAGTTTATTCTAAGCTCTTACCTATTACTAAAGAAAGCTATATCTAAGTAATAAATAGAAGAGTAGATACATATTTTATTATTCTACTAGTACTATAGAATATATCTATAGTTTAGCTTAGATAGCTACTACTCTACTAGCTAAAGCGTAGCCTATAGCTAAAGCTACTTCTAAAAGTAGATAGAGACTTTAAATAAAAGATTCTAGAAAGGTAGATATCTCTTAAGCTATAACGTAAACTACTCTTTAATAATATTATACTCTTTTACTTACGCTAAACCTTTAGCGCGTAGAATATTTCTAGCCTTAGTAGATATATCTATACTTTCTACTCTTATACTAGCCTAAGAGTAGATAGATATATTAATAGTAGGCTACCTATTCTAGAATATAGAGTCTTAAAGCTAAAATATCTAGATATAGTTATACACTATCTTATATAGAATAGTAGTATAGCTATTTAGTTCTACTTACTTAAAACTAAGGTTAAGCTAGAAGTCTAAGAGTAGAATATAGTTCTAATTCTAGTAGCGCTTTATTATAGCTATAAATATCTTCTAAACTATAGTAAATATTTTCTACTTACTAAAGGTAGCTAGTTTTATATTATACTTAGATAGAATAATTATAGACTAGTTAAACGTGTTACTAGAAAGATAGGTATCTTATATATTATATATAAGTAGAATTATATAGTTCTATAGATTACTAAGTAGATCTAAAGCTACTAGAATCTAGACGTTAATCTAGCTACTAGTTAACTCTATATTAGTAGCTATAATCTTACTCTTTACGTTTATCTTAGTACGTATTTTCTTCTATAAGTAGAAATAATAGTATCTTATACTATAAGAGTAGACTACGTCTAATATAAAAAGAAGAATATATTCTATCTAGAGAGCTATAGTATAGTTATTAAGGTACTAGGTAGAAGTCTAAACTTTCTATCTATTAGAGGTAGTATATACTAATAGTATACTAGAGAAAAAGACGTAGTAGTTCTATTCTCTAGCTACGTAGAATAGTATATTCTTATAGTATATAAGGTTTACGTAGTAGAAAAAGATATACTAATCTACCTAGACTATTTATATAAAGAAGAAGTAGAAATAGATCTTTATATTATATTTATTATATCTAAAGACGTATAGATAGAAAGGTAAGAAGATAACACTATTAACGTTAAACTATCTTTAGATATTAAAGAGTCTATACGCGTCTTAGTACTTATACTTAGAGGTATTAAAGCTAAGTAATAAAGGCTGTAGAGGCTTCTATATAGCGTCTAGGTAGACTCTAGTTAGTAAAGCCTTCTAATTTAGATAGATAGACGTATTTCTATTATATAATTCTATTAGTTTTAGTAAGCTTAATAGCGCGTATCTATATAAGGTAAATACTAGTACCTAGCCTAGACTTCTATAAAGAAGCTTAGTAATATACTAGAGCGTAAACTCTTCTAGTTACTTAAAACACTTCTATTCTTTATTTTTATAAGTATAATTATACTCTAGGTAGTAGATAATTACCTGTATAGTAGCTTCTTAAGCTAGTAATAGGCTACTATTAGTATTATCTTTAATACTATAGTAAAGTAAATTTAGAGAAGAGAAGAGCCTAGTACTAAGTACTCTACTAATATAGAAGTAGGTATAGATATAGGTAGAAGTATTACTAAAGATAAAAACTAAGTCTAAAGTAGTTATAGAAAGGCTAGTCTTAAGGTTATAGCTTACTAAAGAAGTAGATAGCCTCTAGAGTATACCTCTAGGTTCTAGTAGCGTAGTAGAAGCGTTTATAGAGCTAATCTAGTTACTATACTAGCTATATAGCTAGTTATAATCTAAAATACTATTAGACTACCTAGCTAGAGACTACCTAGCTAGTAATAAAAATCTAGTAGAGAGTAATATAGGCTCTTCTAGCTCTTCTAGCTCTTCTAGCTCTTTTAGCTCTTTTAGCTCTTCTAGCTCTTCTAGCTCTTCTAGCTCTTCTAGCTCTCTTAGAAGTAGATATTTATTAACGTATAGGCTACTATAGCTACCTATACTATTAGTACTTATATTACTATTAGCTCTTCTAGAGATACTATTCTAGTAGCTTCTAATAGTAATAGCTTATAAATATACCTAGTAGCTACGTCTACTCTAGATAATTAGTAAGCTAATTAATATTAATATTATCTACTCTATTAAAATTATTAGACGCTAGGTCTTATACCTTATTAACGCTACTTACGTTATTCTCTTTTTTAGTCTCTACTTTACTCTTACTATTTATACTATAGCTAGCTTTTATAGTAGCTCTAGATATATACTTCTACTAAATACTTTATACTACTATTTTATTCTTATCTTCTTTACTATATTATCTCTTAATCTTAATAGATCTACTATACTATATTTAGTTATTATACACTTTCTATACTATCTATAGTATAGTAACATTAGGCTTAGAAGGCACTATTTAGAATTCTAGTTAGGTTTTAAGTATATCTACTTAGAAGTTAGTAAGAAGACTTATAGTAGAGGTAGTCTTTTTTTTTAAGAAAAGTAGTCTAGAAGCTAATATTTATACTCTTAGCTTACGTATACACTACTAATACTAATATCTTTCTTCTCTTCTTTTTACGTTATTACGCTTACCTTCTTTAAACGCTTACCTTACTCTACGCTAACTTAGCCTTCTTTTTTTAAGCGTCTATATTATATTTCTAAAAGTAACTAGGTTAGTAAGGCTCTTAGAGTAGTATCTTAACAACTTACTACTATAATACTAACGCTAAGATAATACTTTTACGCGTAGTATAGATAAGACTAGAAAGTAAAGCTTATATAGAATAGGTATAGAAAAGCTACTATAAAGAAAAAATAAGAAGAAGAAAGATATACTACTATAGTAGTTACTAGGTATAAGGTAATAGTTATAGTAGTAGTAGAATATTAGAGAAAAATAGCTACGCTACTACTACTAGTAGTAGTAAGTAGTAGAATATTAGAAAAAATAGCTACGCGCGCTACTAGTAGTAGTAAGTAGTAGAATATTAGAAAAAAAATAGCTATACGTAGTAGCTAATAGTAGAATATTAGAAAAAAATAGCTACGCTACTACTACTAGTAATTTAAGTAGTAGAATTACTAGTAGTAGTAGCGTAGCTATTTTTTTCTAATATTCTACTAGAGTAGCTACGCGTAGTAGCTAGTAGTAGAATATTAGAAAAAAACTCTAATAAAGTATAGCGCTATTTGCTAGCCTAGAGAGGTATTAGAAAAAACTTAATTTAGATATAGTGCGCCTTACTTAATCTTACTTATCTAATATCTATAACATTAAACTACTACCTAAACCTAACTCTAAGCTACTAATACTATAGAAAATATTAAGGTTTTACTTAGTTATTTAAGAAAACTAAGTTAGTTTTTATTAATTTTTCTTACTAAGAAATTATAGATAGTTTACTTATATAGATAGTTTACTTATAAAGTATATTAAACTATTATAAGACTTTTAGAAATATAAAAAGTATAATATTTAGTAACTTTTTATAGGTTATTATATTTTAAATAGTTTAAGCTTATTTTTAGAGATTTTATTCTCGCAAGAGGTACGTTATACTATATTCTTATAGGTAGCCTAAGGCTTCTTTAGCCTCTATAGCTTTCCCTATATGTTGCGAATGCCGCTGCTTTGGCACGGGACCCACGGTTCGATCCTCGCTCTCCAGCTTCCGCTTTTTCGCAATGTATGACGGTCGTGTCTCAGATCGTCGTGGCAATGCTCGTAGCGGCGCAGCGACACCCGGCGGAGTCGCAAGGACGGTCGAACACGGTGTCGGCGTCCGCGGCGGACTCATAACGCGTGTGGGGGAGGCTACCGGAGTGCCTGGAGTTGGCGGCGACATGTGTTGGATGAAATCGCGGATGGTATTATGCGCGGCACTCTGGTGTTGTGCGCGCAGTGTCGGAGGCGTGTGACCCGGGCGGGAATTCGCGGCGTGAGCGGCATAGATGCGTTCGCGGAGGGGGAAGACTTCCTGCAGCCAACGCAGACGGTGGCAGAGGGCCTCGTAGAACACGGCGTCGAACTGCGCGTTGGCGCTATGGACGGGCGTGCTGGGTCGAGGCAGGAGATGCTTGCCGTGGGTTTCCACGACGTTGGCGAGGACCTGGCACGGTTTGTTAGTTGGAGCATTAAACAGTAGCAAGCCAACATACTCCAAATAAAGGCTGCGCATCTGGCGCAGCCGACTTGTCGGGCATGGCCGATGGTGCGCTGGTGATGAGTCGATCAGGATGCGAAGTAGCTGCTTAGCTCAGCACGCTTATCTCATCTGTGCATTCACCCCCACCGGTGCCCCACGCCAGGAGCAGCCACAGCAGTAGCCACAGCGGCCGCCTGAAACCACGACAACCTTGGAACTCATCCGGCTTCAATCAACGTATATGCCATAGCAAGCTTCCATGTCGGCTCTAGCGACACCCGCACGCGATGCGCCCACGTCCGCCCCTTGCGCCTTCGCGGAACTCGTCCCTGCAAATGTGCTAGCCAAAGACGCTTTCGACGCCGTTGCTGAAGCCAGCCTGCAACAGCCCCAGCCCTACTTCGCCGCCTTCATGCGCGTGGAGAGCAGCTGAGTATTCGATCCCGCCGTGGCAAGGTACCGTGAGCGTGGGTCCGACGATTTGCTCCATTCAGACGAATTTCCCACTGAGGTGGACACGGATACTGAGGCAGCGCAACGCAAGGACCACCAACTGTAGAATGGCGCCTTCCACTTCAACCTGCCGACTCGTGACCCACAGCGCTTCCCAATATGGATCGCGGGAAAGGGCAGAGACACGGAGCCTGATGCAACACAGCTTCGACTGACAGCGGGCTCTGGCACAGCTAAACATGCCATACGTGGGAAGCATGTGCGCTTTTCCTTATCCCCAAAGACCGGCTACCTCGTTATCAGGGCCTACCCTCCCGCCGCAACAAGTCTAGCAGTTAACGGCGTGCCCCTAAACATGGAGCCCTACACTTTGCACGAAAACACAGCAAGGGTTAGGATTGGTGAGCTTGAGTACCTGTTTCGCTACACGACCTTCGCCCAGTCGAAGCAGTTCCTAGAGGCGCGCAACCTCTTCGTTTCGCTACAGCACCCAGACTCGAGCAAAGGCCTTGCCTTGACGCCTACACCCGCCCCAACAACCCGCAGCATAGGCGAATGGACGTTACAGAAAGAGCTTGGAAAAGGAGCGTCTGGGGCCGTGTACTCGGCGACAAGTCCGCGGGATGAGGTGGTGGCGATCAAGCTGATCGTGAGGAACCAGCGCTCAGCTGCGTCAGTGAAGAATGAAGTACAGACCCTGACAGCCATCACTGAGGCAGCAAAGGCAGCTGCATGCTCCCATATTGTCGCACTACGAGGTTCTATCTACCCAAACGGGCTTGAGGAGTAGAACCAGGAGATCGTTTTCGATGACGTATGCCTTGTTCTCACTCCTGCTGCGGATGCCACCCTTCTAGATCTCATCCGGGATGCAACCGTGGATATAAAGCTCAGGATGTCTCTCCTGTGTGATGCGCTGCGCGGCCTCCAGTTCCTCCATTCGCAAAGCTACATCCACCGCGACGTCAAGCCCCAGAACATCAGCATGTACGCCAACCATGCAGTACTCCTAGATCTCGGCAGTGCCACCCGTCTATCTTCCCCCACAGCCACCCTCTCCGCAACGCCCGGTCGATTTGGCACCATTGAATACCTGGCTCCTGAGTTTGAGAAATCCGAATATGGCACAGCTGCGGATGTGTGGGCCCTTGGTGTGTCAGCCTTCGAACTCTTGTACCGCTACCACCCATTCAGGCACAGCAAGAACCCTTGGCGAGCGGGTGCTGAATACCTGCAACCGGCCTTCCGGCAACAGGAGCAGATGGCTGTCCAGCTCCTCCGGAGTTCCAAGGACGGTGTGGGCGGCGTTATACTGCGCATGCTGCGCTATCAATGGTCAGAGATTAATTCAGCCATGCGAATATCGGCCACAAGAGCCCTCGAGTTCCCTTGTTGGGACGCGCTTGATGAGAGCTACTCACCGCCAAGGAAGCTGGCCAAGAAGTAGGTGGGTGGTGAGATTCTTCTGTGGTGGAAGGGACGGCATCAACGGAGTCTCCGGCATGAAAACATTTCATTGTATTGGCCCTGGTTGTTTTATGGGCTCTGGAGTAGCATTTGGTAACGGATATCAACGGTTGCAGCCTGATAGCCTCAAAGTGGAGGTCCACTTGTACTTAGAAGTCACTGTACCCAAGCTCCTACAAGATGATGGTGGTGATGATAACTGAATGCGCATACATGAGGTCCAGCGCTGATAGCTTCACCGTATGAACGCGATAGCCCCGAAGTCTTAATTGTCAAACCATCACACACAACAACAACTGTTCACCGATCGAGTTCTCTTAATCCATCTCCTGCTCTCACTCCTACTCCCGCTCCTGCTCCCACTCCTCGTGCTCCCGACCTTGGCAATAAGATTCATCACGACAGCGTAAGATTCTTCATAACAGCGTCACAAGGGAGGAGATGTGTGTTATAGAAACAAGTATTCCAAGCTCTGAATCAGAGCTCCGTTTGATATAAAGACCTTGGGCTGGCAATACCCTGCCGTTCTCACATCTGCCCTTTTGATAATCACGAGTCGCAATGGCTGCTCTTCCTACGTACGAGCGGAACGGAAAAGCTCGACGTTGGGGGGTGGTTCTTGAAGATACATGCTATTAATTTCTACGTTACATGGCTTCTTCCTTTATGGGCCTCCTTAGGGCCGATACACAATAGGCTCTTGGGCTGGAATTGAGATTACAAGAAGAATATTTGACTCTAGACCTTCCTGTGTGGCTTCCGCTGTATCCTCGTTTACATTTATAAGAGCCTCTCAATAGGTTCCATCAAGCTTAGGGCGAAGAGTTGGAAGAAACTAAAGCAATTTTGTACTTTTATTATCATCAACTTCACGAATGTAATTAAATCCATGAATGTAAATGAAATAATGGCGGTTCTCTGCTGGTCCTGGAGCGGCATTTAGCTTAGCAATAACTGCTGCCCCAACCTCAACCAGCAATTTTACCAGACACTCAATCAAAAGTGATATCCTACGCAACTGCCGCTTTCCTGTACTTCACATCGTTCTAGAGCATGAGCCGCATCGACGACTTACATGGGCGATAGTGAAGCGTCCCCAGGCTTAAGTGTTGCTCCCTGATCAAAGCATTTCTGAAAGTTTCCACAAGCCACAAACCGGCGAAGTGGGCTTCAGCAGTCCGTAGCTGATCTAAATGCTGAGACCCGACCCAGTCCTATCGCACATTTGAATACCAGCTCTCTGGCCACAGATACAGTCCTTCTCTGATGACCCCATTTGTTTCTTTGTGATATGGTTTTGGAAGAGGACAAGAAAGGGGGGAAATAGATGTTGAGGGAAAATCCTCTACCTTGCGAGTGGCCGTTGTGGCCTGAACTGGGTGCGTTAATTAAAAGCTGGGATGCGACGTACGCTGCGTAAATCATAGGACCAGGAAGTAGGTTAATGTAGAGAGCAAGGATTTGTACCAGGTTGGCCTCGCCGGCCTTTTAGGTGAGAAAGCCCCCCATAGAGGAGGCGAAAAATAGATGCCGGTAGTGGTGGAGAGGCTAGCATTCGTGGGATTAGCTGCTAGAAGAGGTTTTCTTTAATGCCTGTCTAGAGGACACATCAGCTTTTCAGCCACGGTACTCATATACCTGGGACACTGCCTTCTGCATTTTCCAGAGCAAAATGATAAGTCCTATGGGTATGGTAGGAGCGGAGGCGGGTTCCACGTCTCCAGAGAGTCAATAGGAACTTCAGTAATGGTGTTTCAGGCAAAGAGGCCTAGATCGCTATCAGCAAATGTTGCGTCCAGTAATACTTTTTGCGATATTCGAAGTATGAATCGATAACACTGTCTCGCATGCGAAATGCGGATGCTGGCTCACTATATACAAAGGCTTGAATGGCTGATCCAATGTCTATATTAGAGCATGTCTTCGTCCTTTCCAGTTTTCGAAGAGCAAGACCGATGCTGTTCGATGGTATTTTGGAGTCGGATATGTGCCCCAAACTCTTCGACGTGGTGAGATGAAAGCGGGCCGGTAGAGAATGGCGGTATTGGACGGCATCACGGACTTCTCTAGGCGTTATCTCGAATGCGTACTAGAATGGCTTCATGTCTATCGGCATGAGCGTGTCGAAGAGCATGGGTTACGCCCATCATGGTGTCACATCCCTATGTATACCCTGTGATGTGCAAGATGAACATGGAGAACAACATCCTAAAGTACATCATGGCTCTGCATATACATGACCTCAATAACGTCAACCTCAACGAACGCCGAACTCACGCACGAGAAAAGCACTGCCGCTGCAACCCTCTCCTAGACTCTCGTGTAATGCCTTCGATCTCTCCAGTGCGCCTAACCCTGATGTTGCTCAAGTCCAATAACAAGCACGAGTGGCCAGTTATCTTGTTGTCTGCCAACAGGAACACATTCCCAAATTATGGCAGAAGACATGACCCTCTCGCCGTCGACCTTAAGCATGAGCAAGGTGTCCTTGGACAACTCATGCGCGCAGCCGCCTGGACTATGGAAAGATGAGGCAATCCCAGCAGCTGGCTAAGTAGATGTTCGCAACTGCCAGTGCGCATGTCAATCCCGTGCAAAGAACACGACTCACTTGACTGCCTTACTTTCTCGATAGTGTATCTCCTCAATCCAACCCCTCCCGGCTGCTGTTCAGATATGCTTCCTACTCCCTGCCCACTCTCCTCAGATTCCATACACTATGCAGTACCGTAATTGTGTCCAGGACGGTTGAGCTAACCCTTCAATGCGCCGGGGGAAGTTGTTATGGCGTCATGGGTTATTCCGCTTCGCGATGCGCCCGCTCCGGCGCACGCTGGTTATATCGCCTGGGTCGGCCTTCTTTCGTGGCCGGGAATGCCGTGCGGACTTTGGTTTTGCTTGCGCTTGCATCCGCTTGGCATCTGCTAGAGCCTGTGCAGCATGGGCTTGGAGGAAGGACAGTGTGTCGGTGACGAACTGCGCGTGGCCAAGGACGGTCGTGGTGCGGATGGGCGTGATGACGTTGAAGGGGATCTTCGATTCAACCAATGCGAGAACGAAGTCCAGTTTTCTATCCTCCATGCGCTGCTCGAGCTCCGCCGTCTGCTGCTGGAGCCGGCGCGCAACTTCGGCTTCCACTTCCTTCACGCCCCGCGCGCCCGCCTCCCGATACGCCGCCACGATGAGCTCTTCAAGATCCTCCCGCGCCATCAACGGCACGGACCTTCGGTTGTATCGCTTATCCCACTGGTCGACGTACGTCTCAGCGAGCGGCCAGGTGTGTGCGAAGCTTGTGACCGGTTGCGTGCCGGCAGACGTCTTCAGATTCTCGCTCGGATCAAGTGCGGCAGGCGACGATAGGGGAGAGAAGGACGGACTGGGAGGCAAGCGGTCGAGGGAGCTGGTGCCGTCCATGATAGGCGAGGTGTTGCGTGCAGTGCGAGGGTGTGGAGTTGCAGGCGCGGCCTCGAGAGCTAAGCGCGCCAAGACGAACCGCGTGGAGCGGCTAGCCTGTTTCGGTGAGGCGTACCCCGCCAACGTTATTGACCGCTGCGCGTCCTCTCTACCATCCTTTGCTTTGCCATTGACACAATCTCATCTATCACGATGGATAAAGCTTCGGCTCGCCTCATCCTTGTTCCTGTCTCGAAGCGTGCTATGCAGACCGCCCAGCATCATCTACGAAAGGAGAAACGCCTGTGCGACGCGCCTATCGTTGCGCTCCACCAGGATATGAGGACTGCGAAATTTCTCCTCGGTGCAGGCAAATACTGCCATGTTATTTTGCATGCCGACACGACTGGCAAGGACATCGGATACATCAACTCTACGCATGCAACGATCATCCCAGACCCCGACACCGAGGACGTCGAAATCCATAATGTATCTGCCACGACTACCTTCAAGCTCTCCAGCCTTACGACAGAACCGATGGAGCGCAAAACAGTCCGTTCCGGGTCTTACGAACGCATCCACCCCGGGACCACATGGCAGTTGCAGCTCGCACTGGGCGTCCTATTTAACGTCTACATTCCATGTGGCGGTGACCAAACCCATTCAGTTGTGACGTTACCAACTGCGCCATCCAAGAAATCCGCTGCTCGTCCCCAACCAGCCAAGCGCCGGACAAGCAGACAGTCGGGCGAAGACCAGATAGCACCTATGTTGGCACCGACGCAGATCAGTCCTCCGAGTCTGGCCAGGCCCAAACACGACGCTCTCCGGGTTGCTGCAGCAACGCCCACCACTCATGTATACAGAAAAGAACGGGGTGGGCAAGTCGTTGCGGTAAAGAAATGTCGGAAACCGGAACTCGAGTCTTCAGTTTCGACATGGGAACGTGAATACAGGATACTCGACCATCTTCGCCGTCCGTGGCTCAGTCCTCACATTGCGAATTTGATCCGCTATGATGCGATGAAACTGATACTGGAGCTTGAGTTTATTGGACCAGATTTGGGGAAGCGAATTGATGCGTGCAAGATGTCGACGATCCAACCTGCAACGCAGAATCTCATCTGGCACCATATCAGTCAGGCGTTGGTTTTCATCCACAAACAGGGAATTACCCACTGTGACATCAAAGCCGAGAATGTCCTCCTTACTCCCGGTGATAGCAGGGCTGTGCTTTGCGACTTCGGCTGTGGTGCCTTTGGACATGAGCGGGCTCACAGCGGTGGCACTCCACGATATATTGCGCCCGAATATGCGACAGCAAATGAACGCGGCCTGCCCGGCGATATTTGGGCGTTTGGCGTAACCATGATGTTCGTACTGAGGCTCATCCCTCTGCCTGTCCAACCTGGCTGGGACATTTCCAAAGTGCCGAGGGAGCCAGCTATCCGAGCAAAGATGTTCGAGTGGATTGGTGGATTGCGAGCTGTGACGGTTCCGGAGTCGGAGGCATTAGTTAAGAGAATGCTCGAGGTGAAACCGCGCAATCGAATCACCGCAGCTGAGTTGGTGGAAGAAGTTGGCATGAGGATCCAAAGGCATCTCTTGGCTGCATAAAATGGACCACACTTACCCAGCACCCAGCGCACGGGTTCTGGCTGCATCTATCCTCGAGGGCACCTCACGCTCACAGAAGTCAACGATGATGCGGAATCGCACCCCATGGCAACCGGATGCCATCCCGAAACAGACCGAAAGACATCTTCATCAGTCCACTATCCTCCTCCCTCTCGTCGCTGTTCGGCAGAGGAAGCTGAACCCGCACCATTCCAGTCTTTGCTGCACGGTGAGATCCTTTACATGAGGTTCCCATCATACCACATAGCACATCTACACCGGCGGCCGTTCATGGCCTATCGACAAGCATATATGGCACCAGCCGCTTTCGGCAGGCGATGTGCCCGGCAGTCGTACGTCGTGAGTCTCATCCGATGCTCATTTCACCACGCCACTTACTCCCTGCCATGGACGGCAAGATAAGGGAATTCTGCAGACACTACTACGGATCAATGGGACAGAGCTAAGCCGCCAAACCGGCCTCTATTTCGCACAACTTAGCTTCCATCCCCTGGGCCTTTCAGCTACGACCGCATCTGTACAACCAAGGCGATCAAACCTTCCCCTCGACGATTAGCTTAGAAGCTGTCCCTTCATGCGAACTCGTCAGGAACATACGGGTCAGCGGGACTCGACGTCGTGGGTACAGTTACAACCCGGTCGGGACCTACGATTCTTTAATGATATGAAGCTGATGCCAATCATCCGCCATTAGGGTGGGAAGAAGAAGCTCTTGTGCAGGTTGAGCGCTGAAATGACGGTTGCAGGTTTCCTATTTCCGAGAAGACGACTTTCGAGGGCCCGCAACGCTGGAACTGTGCAGGGCCTGGTCTGCCAAGCCTACCCCATCCTTCCAAAAGCTCGAATTGGCATTCTATACGACACTAAAACGCGATGCATCATCCCCAGAATGCTATGGCAGATGCTACTCCTTCCGACGCTATACACAATGGGCTGATCTATGTTCCAGACCTTTCTCCCCTTGCGTCCCAAACGTTCCGCTGAAGCGCAGATCCCTCAGCCCTTTCGAACTCGAGCTCCCACGGTAAGCCGTCCCGCCGAAGCGCCATTGCCTGTTCCAGTCGAGGAGCCCCTGCAGCTCTCTACTTCGGACACGGCTCACAGACTTCCCGAAGCACCGCCTGTCGCACGTCATAGCCTCAACATGGTCGTCGCAAGTTGCCTAAGCCAGCACCACCACGTGGCTGTTACCGCCTTACAGTGACCAGTCGTCAGCCATCGATTTGCTGCTTCCGACCGAAATCCAATCCCACAACATTATAAAGGAGATGCTGCACGCAACCGAACAGCACCGTCTACAAGCTGTAGGACACTGCGAGCGACTCCAAGTGAACACACGCAGCTGGACTACGGCGTATGACGGCCTCACCGTTGCCCTTCAAAAGTGCTCCGAAGTGTATTCGCGAGTAGCTGCGGAGAATCAGGCACTGAAAAATCAGGCGGGCGGCCTCAATGGTCATGTGTGGGAGAGAACACGATGCACATGTGACTCGCAAATTAACCGCAGCCACTCTACCAGCCAGACTCCCAACTCAATGCAATTGCCTGAAAAGACAAGGGGCTCTCACGTCGCCTAAGCGACCGCGAGTGCTCGGGAGATGTCTCTGACCGAGATGGGTGCCCGCTTTCTTACGTAGCTAGGGATGATTTGGAAGAGTATCCCTACTCTCTGGGTGTACGTATAGTCAGCCGCATTTAGTTGTCGTCAGATGAACCAATCTACATTCTTACCTGGAGATGATCTCATTTAGATTTACCCTTAGCCTGCACCCATCTGCGTTCCACCCATCACTCTTCTCTTGCCTGGCCGCCCGAGCAACAGACTTTGTTAAGCCCTAAAAGTACGACCCATCGTAAAAATGTTTATTTGAAGTCCTCGGCTCACGCCGAAAGGTGCCCGTGGACCGCATCATATCACGGGACTCCAGTCACCATCGTAGCGGTTACACCTCTTACATTAAATGCCCGCTCTCGATGCCTCCCCCCTCCTCCATCCCCCATTTTTTCTCCTGGATCTTGAACATTCGCTGGAGTCCTTGACTCTAATTACCTCGATTCGCGGTAAACCCGTGTGCGCTAGTTTCACTAGTCAAATGTGGTAGTAACTTCAGTGGGAGCAGGCAGAATGTCTGTAGAAGCTGAAAATGGGGCTGGCTCTGCCCTTGTATATCTTTCCATATGGGGCAGATGACTGCCCATCAAATAGAATGTTATTTTTGGGGGGGCTGGCAGGTCATAGCCTCAACCGATATTAAGGGTCGTTCTATCAATTGACTAACCCCCAAGCGAATGGAGAAGGACAAGTTTCCGTAGCATGTACGTTGTACTGACAAGCGACTTCTATTATACTGTCTATTCATCTTCCGCACCCGTTCGAAGTTTCCAAAGACTTTGACGCGGCCGCTTGCAATTTCCTAATGCGAGCGCTGCGTCGAAGGCTGCTGGGATTCTGTGACCTTGTGTTCGTCTTTGCGTCCCGCGATGTTGTTTTCTGCAGTGTTGCCTTCCGTCGTGTACCGCTCTCCTTGCACTGTTGCTGTTGCTGCTGCTTCTTTTGCTTCTTCATCATGGGCTGCTCTGTGGGTTCCTCCACAGCCTCGTCATCGACCTGGCGTCCTCGCTTCCTAGACCTCTTAACTGGATTAGCTGGAGGCGCGTCCAGCTCTTCCGTAGGCATCTGACTTAGAGCCCATTGCGTCCGGAGAAGCTGGCGAGATTCGTCTGCCTTTGCGTCTCGATGCGCTGCTGTTTTTCGCATGACTTGGTTGGTGAGCTTATTGCGTGATACACTTTGCGAGCCACGTCGGTGTGGGTCGCTCAGCGGCTTGGGATTAACCTCATAATGACGTTGGGTCTCAGATGTGGTGCACCTGTCGAGGCACCAGTACTCGAACTCGAGGTATTCGATCCACGTCACTCGCTCGCTCTGCTGCTTCGGGTCTTCGAGGAGATCAAAGGCCTCAGTAAAACTGTGACCACCCAGGCGGCGACGCGCAGCCTCAACATATTCGTCGAAGGTCCCGCCGCAGACCTCCCCAAAGCTATCCTGCTTCCGCTGGCGGCGGAGTTGTTCCTGCTGCCACATCTGGTAGATAGTCTCGTCGAAGTACGGCGCGGTCGTCATCTTACCAAGCCCAGTAGATTCGAAGTAGCGCCGTTTCTCGTCCCGAAAAGCCGCCAAGTTTTCGTCACCCGTCATGTCCACTCCGCGGTTATTGCCCTGCCATCTCCGAAACTCCCTCCAGCGCTCAAGCGGACGCGAAAAGACGCCCAAATCATCCGGATTCAGAGGGAAAGTCAGATTTCCCAGCCACGGTCTCAGCATCTCCACATAGTCTGCAGGGCTCTCGTAGATCTTGTCCAGGGTCTCCAACGAACAAGGCGGCCGGCCGCCATCGTCAATAAGTTCGTAGTAACACCGGATCTGGTGCTCCTTACCCACGCCAGGCTGGGGCGACAGCGATGGTGACCTTGCAAGGCGTGGTGACGAGGAAACGTGTTCTTGCGACGTTTCTCCTTCTGAGCGTACGCCATTGAGCTTTGCGAAAAGCTGGCCGAAATCGAGGGGCTGCGGCGCGGCTTTGGCCCGCGGGCCGAGGGACCTACACGCGCTTTAGCGACGAGCGACATGATCTGGGGCGAGCGGCGGTACATTAACCTCTCAAGGAGTTTCGTCTGCTGGGCCTCAGATACGTCGTCCCAGTCGCCGATGTTTGTGACATCGAATATGTCTCGAGCATCCCGGTTATCTGCTATGTGTCGGACAAGCGCAGAGTCGTCAAGGCGCAAGAGGTGTCTGACCGAATACTGCGGTGCCATAGGTGCACATTTGTCGTCGCGTGCGTCGTCGAGGGCGTTTGGCGGGTCGACGAGTAGGAAGAAGAGCTGTGCAAGGAGCGGGCGCTGACAAGAAGCCAACAAGAAGCCCAGCCGCCGGGGATCGCACGGCCTCACCTACGGTCGATGCCACGCAAGAGCCTCATCGCCCCCATTCGAGCGGCTCTGGTACCTGGTCATTTTTTAGTTTCATGCGATGATTCGCGACTCATCGCAAGCTAGTCCTTGCCCTTTTCTTATCAGACTCCATGCCAGCATTTATCAACATCAATCCAGAGGATACATGCATTCTATCAACCTGCAACCTTACAAATGGTCACCGAGTCGCCCAAAGCCAATAGTAAGCGATACATAACTAATTTCTTCACACTTTCTCTAGCCGTATGTCATCCCACAACCAACCCCGGCAGAAGCTTGCTCCGCGCGCGATGTTCTTGGTAACAATTTGATGATCACAATGCCGACTCGTTCTGAAAGTCTTTCGGCTGCAAGATAGCACTTTCAAAGACGTCCAGCTCTCTGTTCCCCTCCGGTTAGCTTTGTGGACAGAAAGAGGGACACTCCATCGTGCTTACCTTAGTCTCTTCTGTGGTACTACAGGCTCGAGCGGACATGATACAGCCGGAGCACCCACACGATCCTCGTTCTCACAGGGCACCGGCCCTTGGAATGGGCCGGGCGGCCGAGGAATCGCGGAACCCGGAGCCGACTCAAAATCCTCAGAAAACCCTGAAACGGCGCCGACATCAGACTTATCAAAGAAGCTATCCAAGGGGTCACAGATCTTGTCCAGCATCTCCTCCGCCCCTTGCGTCCCCTGCGCCGCCGGTGGCGGCCGGCCGGCCTTGTTAAGAAGAAGCTGTATCGGCTCCCTGCGAGGTCGAGGTCGCAGTTCCGGAGTGCGGAGCTGGGAGAGCCAGAGATGTCGGAGTTCATCCTTGGGTCGGCCCTCACGCCCTCTGTGCCACGGTCGACAAAGATGCGTGGCACTTTGCCATTCTGGTGGCGACTGTTCGCGCGGACTGTTTTTGTCTCGCTCTCATCTTCCTCCTCGTCACTGTCCTCGTTATCGTCCTTTACCTCTCCCTCTTCTTCCACCATTGCTACAGCTTCGGTCTTTCAGGTATCTCGACTACCCTCACGCAGCAGCAGCGACCTTTCGTGTGAATCCCAGGCCCTCCTGCGCTTTTCAGGCTCCATGCACAACATCGCCTGTAGCAAAAAGAAAGCCAGGTCGTCTCGCGTTTCCGTGAAGTACTGTAGGAGCCGCCGACTCACGTCTCGACGCCAGAGCTTACCATCCTTAATGTGCGTCTACGTACCTCGGGAGCCCACACCTCAGTCTGACGAGAACAGCGCCTAGAGCCCACATGTCTACAGAGCACTGGAAGGACATAAGCCGTGGGAATAGACTGCGGGAGCTTTTTTAACAAAGATGCGGCGGGTAGGATGAGGCTGGCTGGTAAGCGAGATATCCGCAGATGATTGCGGGGTTAGACGGAGGAGGAGAAGTAGAACCCTGCAGCTGCCATTTACTGGTCGCGGAACCACGGATTGCATAGATGAATTAGACGAGATCTTCTATTTCGCTATGCGAGCTCCGAATAGCAATGTTCCCGGACCAAATTTACTCACCCTGGGCATAGGTTTGGTTGCGTCGAGAAGCGGGGGACCAAGGCGACAACTTTGTGTGTGAGGCAGATAGCATGGCGGGATGCAAATTACTAATGACGCTTCCGGTCAGTCCAACCCTTATTTAGCTCGACCCGCAGAAGCTCACCGGTGAGACGGCCCATTCCGCGTAAAATGTCGTCAGCATTTATTCGGTCACTGCCCGCATAAAGGATGGGATCAGTTAGAACCGTTTAGAACAACTTACTCGGCGCTTGCCAATCCCACCCCGCAAAGTATAGAACGAATTCATCGCTGTTGGGTTTAATTAATTTTCAGCATTCGCGCTCGAAAAGTAAGAAGACTGCGCCCTACTTAAGGGACTAGCAGGGACTAACACTAGAACAGTTTCTCTGGTTGCCTGACCCCAATCCAACTCTCGCGAATTCCTAGACGTGGTCACTACTGATTTAACCGACAATGGTAAGTACGATGGAAGCTAGCCTTTCTAAACATTAGGAATACAGACCCTAATAAGCAGCTATAGGGTTGTAGATGCACGTATTACTAGCAGACCACCAAGGCGTCTGGCTGCAAGCAGACACCTCCACACACCGAGCGAATGAGAATTGACCAAGACCAGTGCAATAATGCTCCCCCCAGTGGCCAGTGCGCCAATGCTACAGAGATCGCGGGTTCTTCGATCATTATAACTTAGAGCGGAAGAGTTTGCAATAAATGCCCTAGCTCAACTTCCTAAGGGAACCGACATCTAGGGACATTTAAATTGTCCGGCTATGAAATTTCCAGAGTTTTTAGTGGAGATGATGACTGCGTTTTGTAGAAGGTCACGGACACCCAAGCCGCACCTCCAACATTGAATCGCTCGAGCTACACCGGTTTTCAGAGATGATGGCACTTGTTATGAGGGATAAGGTGGAGATAACAACACACTCGTTTTTAGAAGTTAAATACAAATATATTCCTTCATTCCCAAGTCTGCACCTGCCTAGAGGCCGACCCGAAGTCGTGCGCCCGCGTCGCCGCGTCGTCCGATCGATTGTCCCTAATTTAGTTCGCCATCGATTCTGCTTGTCCGGACAAACGGTTGGACGAGTTCTTACCAGAGAAAATGCTAGGTGAGTCCTTGCTAGAGGAATGATTGGACAAGTCCTTGTTAGAGGAACAACCAGACGAGTTCCTGGCAAGGGGAAGACTAGGCCATATTTAGGCTAGATATCTTGGAGCTAACATGCGATTAGCTCTATGTGTCTCTTCGCTAATAACGTGAACGAAACATACTAGAATAGGTAATCTCTTCAGCCACATCAGCCGCTAAATTGAAGTAGCCCTCGCGTTTCCAACACTTAACTATCACATCCCCGAGCGGAAGTTCGCTCACGTTAGGGTACTTTCCCTCCTTTATAAGTTTCTCAACCTCGCACTCCTGCTCCTCTATTTTCTCGTGAAAAGGTTTCCTGCCCGTCACGATCTCGTAGATAGTTGATCCAAGTGTATGAATTTCCGCACGGATGGTAGGCGGGGTATTCTCGCTCGTCAGGATGCCAGAAACCAATTTCGGCAACAACTTCTACCTAGTCGTCGTCGATAGAAGAGCCACCAAAATCGCAGAGAAGAATATTCCGTGCCGAATCTATTAACAAATTCTTCCTAGATAGGTTAGCGTAACGGATGTTGTTCTCATGGACGTAGTTGAGTACTTCGGCAACGTCTTGACACCACTTAATCCTCTCTTCAGGCGTGGCCTTGCCTCCTTTATTGTAGTACAGTCGGAGGCATCTAGACTCTGCTCGTTTGAGGTAAATGCCATACTCATTCATGTCTACAACATTAGGTAGGTTTGGGTGCTTCCCTAGACGGCGATACACCCGCTTTTCAATCTCCATGGCTTGCTTAAACTCCTCGAAGGGTAAAGGTACCTTGAGCACCACACCCAGGCGGTCTTTAATGTCGCAAATGACAGAGTACCCCGCACGAATAACAACCGTTGTGTTACCAGGTCTCTTTATAAAGCCTCTCCGCTCCGTTACATTCTCCGCAGTCTCAATCTCCATGTGGAATCGTGGAGGATGAAGGGTGGAACGAAATCTGAGGAGGATCTGTGTGCGTGCTGTGGTTTATCATGAATCGTGGTGGCCAGACAAGGTGGGATGTGCAGCGCTCGACATTTACTCTGTTGACAGGCCATTAATCATTGGAATTTAGGGGGCCCAATAGGAAATAACCGTTGTCACGACAGGGGCACGTACGATGAGAATAGGCTCATTGGCACATCTAGTGGCCGCTATCAATCCTTGTAAACGGGAGGAACTGGACGGAGAGCAGGAGGGCTGTGTATCGGTGTAGGCGGATGTTTGGAAGTTGGTGCGGTGTGGTGCAAGTGTCCAGGCAATCAGGAAAAACGGCCGGGGGTGTTTTAGCGTCGCACGGCATCCGTGTGGCGCGGATAATGCCAAGACAGGATTCTGACTGCGCCACCGCAAAAATCCTGCCCCGCTCCGATGACACATGGCAGCTCCAACAGCTGATGCCTCGATTATGCCGGTATGGAGCGTTGATCAACCAGGAGCCAGAAACCATGTCTTTCCGTGCTAATTATACCGGCATCCAACCAACATCTCGAACGTCTTTGCGGAGTGAAACACCTTTGGTCCCTGTGGCTCTACATGATATATTAAAGTTGCTGCAATGTCGCACATAACGTACGTCGAGATTCATCGATATCTCCCTCAGGGAGTCAAGCGGATCATTGCGCATGGCGGCGGTTGCTGGATTGGCGAAGTCGACGAAACGACGGTCCTCAAGTATCCGCACACTCAGGAGGAGATGAAATGGGTTCAGATCGAAGCGAAGATTCTGAGTGTTCTCGGACGCCATCCTCGTATCATCCAGTCGAAGGGTATAAGCAAAGATGGCCTTTTCCTGGAGTTTGCCCCAAATGGCAATCTGCACGACTACCTCTCCGCTCACTCAGAGCTATCTCTCGAGCGACGCCTATCCTGGTGTATACAAGCCACCGAAGCCGTATCCTATATCCACTCAAAGCGAGTCCTCCACTGCGACCTCCGCCACGATAACTTCCTGCTTGATGCCAATCTTGACCTCAAGCTCGCCGACTTCCAGGGCCAGCACTTCTCTACGGACGGAGAGATCCTTCTAGACGGCCTCTCCCTCGAATCTACCAAGGCATATCTACCCCGCAAACCGGCAGATCACGCAAGCATAAAGACGGATCTATTCGCCCTCGGAAGTGCCATCTACTTTATCATGATGGGCCATGAAGTGTTCCCGGATCTGGACAACTCCAAAGACGAAGACGAAATCGAGCGTCGATTCCGCGCCGGGGAGTTTCCCACCGATCCGCACGTATGCGCTACTATCGCCGAGAAATGCTGGAAACAGCTCTACTCGTCGGCGCGACAAATTCTGGCCGACCTAGAGGCTGTGCGGTATGCCATCGCGCGCGGCGAGACGCTGTATTCTGTCGCCAAATACGTCGTCCCTGTTCCGGACAAGGACGTTTTGGCCCCGGCGACATCGTGGCTAAGTGGCCTCTGCGATGAGAGGCAGATGCCGAAGGTACCACCGCCATATCGTCAGCTTATAGGCTTTAGTTAAAACATTATAATACGCTATCTAATTCTAAAGAAATATTATAAAGAAGAAGAAGAAGTTTAGATATAAGAGATGAGAGAAAAAGAAAATCTATTAATTAGTTTATAGGAAGTTAAATACGTAGAAAAAAACTAGACTGCTAGCTGGCCTTTAGCACTAAACGGCCTGCTGGCTCGAGCGCCTGCATATCGATCTAGGCTTTTACCATTTGTTCTTCTAAATGCATATGTGGATTGCGGCCGAGTAATGTCGCAGCGGCATTCTACAATGAAGAACCGTTTGCTATATGCGATGCTGACGATTGAGAAGGACGTCAGTGATTGCTTAGACTATCTGTGCTATGTGAGTCCATCACTATGTAGTCCTTCAATCCACGGGTTCCCGCCCGCTAGCCCCCCAACCACCGGCCCCACAGGTTCCTCATTCACCATCGTCTCGGTCTCAGGTTCCTCATTCACCTTCGTCTCGGTCTCAGTAACGTCCGGAGACAAGAACCTCTGGGCTCCCCCCGTACACTTATACAACCCCTCAACATCGCGCTTGCACGCCCCCTTATACGAAGTGGTGCCCCAAGTGTGAATCCTCCTCACCGTATCCGCAAGATCGTCAAAGCCGGCGCGGATATTCCCACGCTGCCAGGTTTCGACCCTCACCCCCGCCCACTTGTTCTCCTGCACCGGCCAGCTCTGAGGGCTGATCTTGACGAGGAGCCAGCCATTCTGGGAGACGAGCACAACAAAGTGCAGAATCGAGTCCGTGCCTGGATGTGCGTCGCCCTCCTGCTCGGACGGCGAGCTCGTCGAGGCCGATGGCGGAGAAGATGCGGCGACTCTTTTGGCGTGCATATCGTGCTGCTGAGCAAGCAGCCATCGATTGTAGAGCGCCGTGACGCCAAAGACTAAGGGGTCCCTGCACGCAACGAGAAAGGCCGCGTTGAGGTGAGCGTCAAGCGGATGAGCGACAACATCTACTGTGAGGTAGGGATACATTGTGTCATCGCGGAGTCGTGGAAGGAAGGTTGCTCTGCTCTTGAACGTCGCACTGAAGATCTTGTCCGTGAGGGCATAGAGGATGTGCGGTTTCGTGGCCCAGAGCTGTAATTCGTCTAGGGAAGAGAGAAACTGGGCTCCGGCTGCCGGGTTTCCTTTGGGGGCGGCGTTGCCCGTGGGCACGGTGGGGGGACGCTGGGTGGTGGTCGACGTGGTTGCCTGGGCCGAATTCCTCGGGGCCGCAGGGATGCTTGGCAGAGCAGAAAGAGGGACCGGTGCATACCACATAAGGGCCCTATCGTGGGGTCGCGCCGGATCAGGGTTCCCTTCAGCGATGGCTTCGTAGTCCATGAGTCGTCGCGAGATGCCGTAGGTGCCGTCTTGGTGGTACGCCTGTCGGAAAAGTTTCTCGGTGACGAAGGCTTGGAAGTCGGGCATGTGGATTTGCTGGAGGTGATTGGTGAGAAACCCCTTGCTCTCCGGTGCGATGCAGACAGATTCGACGTCGGCGGATTTCAACTCGTCCCCAATGGTGACATCGTGAAACGAGATGCTATCCTGCAGAGTGATGCCATATTTGTTCATGAATGCGTCAACATTACGTTTGGTAAGATGGACGGGAGCGGGGGATGATGTGGTGGCCATTGAATGCTGCTGTTTCAGCTTGAGGGTCTTCGAGACGGCTTTCCAGAGTTGATCGATGCTTGCAGGATCTGAGTCCGGTACTTCGCTCAGTTCAACGTTACCTGTGGGGGGGTAAAGTACTTCTTCCGAGGGTTTGCTGGCCAGACATTTGTCAGTTGCTTCGCACGTTTGCTCTGAGGAATTGTCCCACAAATGCTCCGGTGTTTGGTCGCGTGCAGCCATGTTTGAGCGAAGATTACGGGTAGTAAACATGTCAAGCTTAATCGCAGTTGCTTGCCTGCAGAGTAGCAATTATGCATGCTAAGCAAAGTAGTGGGCCCAAATAGAGGCCTTCCCGAAACGAATCGATAGTTCGTGCGGGCCGAGCCGAATATGGTCCGTGCCGGTGATCTCGGCAGAGCCGAGTGCTCGCTACTCGGCTCGCTACTCGATTGGTGTTCACTTTTATAATGTATCTACTACTCGAGCAACTACGCCAACATCACTCAAATCCTATTCCCTACAAGAATCAACCTCTGGCTGTTGCTAAATACTCTCAAATTCTAATGCCGATCAGAACCAACCTCTTGCTTAAGGCCCTCTATGCCCTACTGGAAAAGAACAAAGAGATAGCCAGACCCCGAAGAAGTCGGGGGTTACTAGGACTTCTCATAGGGCTTAGGGACGCGCATCTCCCTCCGCAAGCATCCGAAAGCATCTAAAAGCATCCGAGAGCAACATTGCGTCGTCAGTTGTGTCGGTGGCGGGGACGGCCGGCGATGGAAGTCCTTGTGCAACGATATGCACTTTGACTCGTACCTATCAACTTGTGGGTTAACCAACATATGTAACGAAAACCTCTCATGCTTGGTCGAGCCACTAGCGCTGACACAGGATCAATCTAAATAAGAGAGCTGCCTTCGCGTCTTCGGTCCTATATGCCGGGCGCCACTATGGAAACGAGTGGGAAAGATAAACCACAATTGCTTGATAGCCTTTAGTACAGAAACCGTTGTGCTGATTCCTGGAGATCAGTAAGATGCTCCACCTCTTCCCTGGCAATCCGTGCAGGTTACCTCTCTCCTATATTCTCGACCAGGTGGACCAAATATCCCCCTAACCCATCCGAGACCATTACATGTAGCGCAGTCAGGCCCGCGTCTTCTTTTCGGTCTCATCGCAAGGCAGAACTCTGCCGGGCGCACGTTTCTGGCCGGAACGTGGTCCGGCGGCCGTGGTTGGCTCCGACGCGCACTGCTCCAGCGGCGGAGCGAGGGGCTGACGAGCTCGTCGCTGGCATTTCTGAAGTCAGGGCTGTGTGGTCGCGCAAAACTCTGCTGGGGATGCGCTGCAGGTAGCCGGCTGTCCAAAGAGCGGGTGCGAGAGATCATGGAAGGTGGGGCCTGTTGAATCAGCTGAGATCGTCCAGTAAGGATGTTGGTGTACTTACTAGGTACTGCGGGCTCACGTCTTGCCGGGAGTATGTTGAGCGAATGGGCTGGGCACCCAGCGTACTTCTCCTGGACGCAGGACCAACGGGCGGTTCCGCCCGGACCCGGGGCGTGGGCGAACGCCTCACGGTATTGAGATCCGTATCGGACGTAGAATGACTGTAGTCTCTGGGCGCATACTTTGGCCCAAGGTCATAGGTGTAGCGCCGTGTGTGCGGTTTAGGGGATTCAGTCAAGCGTGTAGGATATGGCTCTTCTCGGGGCTTTGGCGTCGATGCCACCGGCTCAGTTGGAATGGGTGGTTCCTTTCGAAAGCCCGCCTCGGTATCACTCGAGTTTCTGTCATGCGCGTTCACGCGATCATCTGAACCTGACGAGCTTGTTGACCTTATGGAGGAGATAGACGAATTTCGTGATCGCGTTGAAGTAGTATAGGAATACGGCGCGATTTCATGGTTGTATCCAGAATTGGTGACCTTTATAACCGGGGTCTTCGGCCCCTCGATTACGGGTTCCTCGTCTTCGTCGGAGTTCAGTTCCACGACCCTGTCATCCACGTCCATCATCCATTCATTCTCGTCTTCCTTTCTCTTATCGGCGGCCTTCAGGATATCGATGAGTTTCTGGATAGGACTGATGGCTCCTCGAATATAGTCTAGGATGATAGGAGGAGCACCTGCCCGCAACGCTGCCCGCGTAATGACAACGCCTTTGTGACCCGTCCATCTACCGGGCCGACTGCTCAGACTGATGAAATTAGTAATGACCGACTTCAGAACTTGGGTCGATGTTCTTGCGAGGCTCTCATCCTCGTGGTGATCTCTTCCGATAATCTCCTGGTGGGATCCAGCAGACAGCAGACGATCACGGAATGCCTCCCGCACATCGTAGTCCAGCAGGAGCGCCTGCATATCCCGGTCTTGGCGTTCAATCGCAAGGTCATACATCTCTCCGTACTCCCTACCCATCCAGGCACCGGCTTCAAGCAGCATCGTTGCGATAGCTATGTCGCCTTTCCCAACCGCTTGGTACAACGCATTCACGTACTGGGGATTTGAAGCAAACACATCGGCGCGATGTTTGAGGAGAATCTTGATTATCTTTTGCCTACTTCCGACAGTAGCAGCGATGAGCGGCGTGCCATATTTCCCACCTTTGAGACTCGGGTTGGCATCATAAGACAGGAGAAGGCGAACCATCTCTTCTTGATTCGTTGCTACTGCTGCTTGAAGAGGCGTACCAAACAACTTGCAGCGCCCATCTGGATTGTTGCCGTCTTTTAGGAGCAGCGTGAGCTTCGCGAAGTCGTCGGAAAGAATGGCCACACACAGCTCGTCGCCCACAAGCGCATATGCGATATGCATTGTCTTGGCTAATGCCTGCTCCTCTGCTCTCCAGTCAATCGATTCCACGTCGGAAAGCTGCTGAAAGTCGCGGCGCCGCACAAACCCCTCAGGTCGCCACGCATGGCGGAGATGATCCGCACCTTGGGCCCAGACGTACGTATAAGCAGCAACAGAGCGAAACTCGCCAGAGGTCAGCTGTACGTCAACCGTGACGAGTTTTCTTTCCAGAAGGCCAGTCACTTTTGGCTCCGAAAAGGGTTCATCCGATTCAGCGTTCGCTCTCTTCAAGAACTTCCTGTCCGAGGCGAAGACCAGATCGCAGTACTCTAGTACCTCTTCACCTAGGCCCAGAATGAGGAAGCCAGTCACCTCCCCTGGAGGATCTGACTCTAGACCAGGGAAGTTCTTCATCCGCCTATTGTCTAGGACCTTGGCAGTCCAGGACTTCTCTTGAATCACAGCACAATCCATGTGCGAAGGCCGCCAGACATCATAACCCTTCAAACGAGCCGGTGCCATAGCTTCAGCTGCGCGTTGTATCGAAACGTTGATCCTAGCCCAGTCGCTCGAGGATGGAGTGAGCCGTCGTTTGTGTAGATGTGACTCTATTCCTTGAAGCGAACTTGCTGCAAATGCGCGGAGAATACTCGGGAACATCAAGCGGCCGTAGACGAACATGTTGTATCTACCAAGACCAGGGTTCGAAGCACTCAGTTCGCTCATGGTGAACCTATTCGCGCCTGCCAAAATGTATGAGGGCACAAGGGTGGTGTCGGGCAACGGATAGCAGTCGCTTTGATCCAGGGGAGGGGAGACCAAGGGCTTCGGAGAAACTATAGGGGTGTCTTCGGCGTCTTCTGGTTCTTCAATCGGCTCCGAAGGAGCCGGTCTGCTCTCTGCATGTAGCCCAGTAAATCGCTTCCATCGAATCAATGGCTCAGTTGATGCTTCGAACCTCACCTGTTTCGTGGCGGTAGGTTGCTTATCCGGTTTTGTTTCGGTGGTCTTTGAGGCTAAATGGCTCGCTGGTCGAGATTCTTGGCCCATAGCTGATGGTGGTCCGCGTTCGGTATCCATCCCTCTCTTTACAGGTGTCCCCTCGGTCTCTGGTTTAGCTGGCGGATATCGAGTCTGAGTATTTTCATTTCGGCCAATCTGCTTCGCATTCGAGGCTCTGGTTCCTATACCCGCTTCGTGTTGTTCGAGCTTCTCACCTGTAGAGGTACCCCCGTCAGTCGGCACCGTTACGACGCCAGCATCCTCAAGCATCTTGGAAGTAACCCGATCGTTTTCATCCGTGCTTTCTTGCTCATCGCCAATACCTTGAGCCGCTCCTCTTGCCACGCGGCGTTGGATATACGAACGCAAGAGTGATGCTGTCACGAGTTCCGGATCGGGTACCTCGCCTGGTCTGGTAGCCTGGGACGGCCCCTCTTGTTCCTCTTCTAAGCAATGAAAGCAGAAATAGGGGTGTCCACTGTTACTATCGGTGATCTTGGCTCGTACCTGAGATGCTGTGGGGCGTGCGGTTCTCGCTTTATGCAGCATCATCTCTGCCCATTCCAGGGGCTCCCTATCTTCGGAATCGGGCTCCGACCTCATTTTCTGGATCCATGCTTTGTTCAAACTTTCGTCAGCCCAGTACAATTCCGCGTTGTTCATATACTGGTATGATCTCAGGTCCTCCAGTGTGTGGTTATTGAGCACTGTAGCCATTTCCAAGAAGACGCATCCCATTGACCATATGTCGCTAAGCCTTCCCCGAGGCTATCACTAGTTAGCGTTTTTATACTTGGGTACATGATCTATCTAGACTTACAGCATCATCCACTACTTCCGGAGCGGCATACTTCCATGTGACGGCGTAGGTCCTCTTTCCGGTAGAAAGGCTGCGAGACATTTCGCGCAAGGTCCTTGAGGTACCGAAATCGGTCAGGTAAACCTTCGTGTGCTTGACGAGGACGTTTTCGGGTTTGATATCCTTGTGGATGATACCCTTGTCATGGAGATATTCCAACGCCGAAATAAGACAGCCGAAGAAGGTCCGCAGACATTGCTTCCGGACGGCACGATCGGATTCGCAATCCTTGATCTCTTTTAGGTATGCCTTGAGGTCCATGTCGGCTACAGGCCTCATGATCAGACCAACGAAAGTCGGATCGGTATATGAAGAAATGAGCTTGACGAGGTGGTGATGCGAAGCCGCTTTCAGAGCCGCTAGTTCCCTCGTGAACTGCTCTAGTCTTTCTCCGTCTTTCAATTCCGAAAGGCCCCGCCGAAGCTTTTTCCTAGCAAAGCTCTTCAAGCTCAGCTTCCCAAACACGTGATCCACCTCCCCAGAGCCGCCCCGACCTAGTGGCTTCACGATGGAAAAGTGTTCCTCGGCTGATTTCAGGAAATTGAAGTGTGCACCACCCTCCTCTTCCAACTCTTTCAAATGCCTATTGGACGAGATGAGGCTCTGCAGTTCCAGAAACTTAGTGCGAAGTTCCGCACCTTTCACGGCCTCGGGAAGGTTCCGGCCGTTATAGGGAAGGTATGCATCATTCCGTTTGAGTGCGACGAATGTATCCATGAGATCGGTTCTACCGAGGATGCGCAATATGCAAAAGGTCCGTGGTCGGAGCGCCCATTCGCCTTTACCAAATTGCCAAAGCTGCTCGGTGACATAGGCAAAGACGCCCTCACGGAGAACCGGATGCATGCCCGTTGGGTCAGTCGGTCGTGGTATGTTCTGCTGGTCGAGCCGTGCGTTTAACTCGGTTTCGGTGAGTCTCCTTGGCGCCGCCTCTGCATTGCGTCTGCCAATTTCCGCATCGTTTCGGTGGGGGGAAGGCGCTCGTGCTGTAGAGGTGGAGGAGCCTTCGTACTTGTTCTCATTACAGTGTGGAGAGCTGTCCGAGAAGCTTTCGCCCAGAGTAGGCAGCTCGCGTTTAGCCTTTTCACCAGCCATGCTTCAGTATTGGTCGAACCTTTTCTGCAAGTGGAAGCTGCTGGGCCAAGTGCGCGAATGTGTGCTAGCGAACTCGTTGTTTATGGGCCGGGAAGGAAGTGCTCGAGGCATCAAGAGATCAGGAGCCTTATGGGAAAACCTGGGGTGATATCAATCGTTCCCGCGGACGAGGCTGAAAGTGTGGAGTGTCCATGGCGAAGCCCGTAGGCATGCCGACACTGCAGGAACTCATGAGCTCTAGCCTATGGGGTTGTAGGTGGCTTACTGCCACCCAATAGCGCATTAACCGGGGCTGACCAGCATTGGCGAGCGACCGCTGGATGTGGTGGGTTGAACATGACATCGCGTGATCTTATCCTCTCTTGACTCCCGCTTCCCACGTCGAGTAGTGGTGATGAAATCCCGAATTCGGTTCGTGGCAGTGCGAATGGCACATTGGGTTCACAGGAGAGAGCGCGCATCGACGCTAGATGCGTGTCGACAGGAAGACTTCGACGTCCGGAAGTACATTGATCTAAGCCATGGCCGAAGAGCGATGGAAGGCTTGGTTTTTCGGATGCCCGTAGTGACGGCAGTCATAGACGCACATGGCCTTCGTGTCAGCTAGCCCTCGCCGACAGCCTGGCTGTAAACTAGGAGAGCTGACGGGTGCCGTCTCGTCCCATCTTGGTGGTGTGGGAAAACCTACTTAGGCGCGCGCTCTCTCGTGGAAAGCAAGGCATTGAAGGATCCAAATGAAATATGACCGTAATCGAGTGGCAATGGCGCGGGTGTGGTGAGGCAAAGTGAGGTCTGAATCCCTGGGATAGAGAACGCGCCGCGGAAAGCGGCCGCGTGCCAAGACGCTTGTCAATTAGCGCACCCGTCAACCTAGAATGTCTACCTTCTGAAGAGCGTTGGACCAACCTCAGCCAACTACAGCTTCGGGGAATGACTTCACTAGGACTGAGAACATGATAATCCTGCGTCCAGGCAATCGGAAACCCCGTATCGGGCCCCATGTCGCCGGAACAACTTTGGGCGCACCTTCAGTCTAGACGCTGACCCACGCTTCGATATTCAAAAAAGGGCATGGCTGCGCTGAGGAATCCAATATGCAGCGCGATTCACAAAATGCTTCCGTATTCTTCTAGCCGGAGTCGCAGGCGACAAGCTGGACTAGGACGACTCACATCCTATTCGGGAGGCCTAGGCATTCGTTAGCCTGCATCAATCAGCAAAGGAAATGATAATTACGCATACGATTTGGACCTTCATTCCCCTCTTCTCGAACTTCTTCTCGAGCCACGGCTTTATCCCCCAAAAACTTTCCACGCCGACCGGGAAAAGCTCACGCGGAAGCGGGCTCGGCACCGCGAAGAGGGTGATTCTCTTGACGCTCTTCAACTTCAAAATGTGGCGGAATGCATATGCGTCGGCAAACCACTTCTTGTTCAGATCGCCGCTGGGGGCCGGAGCGTAGTTCAGGCGCTTTGGGAAATTGAAGTCGTCGAAGCGAAACGAAAGCGACAAGTCGCGCAGGTTGATGCAGTCTTCCAGCAGCGCGGCTCCCGCGGACAAGGGCGTCAACGCCTCCGCCCTGATGAAGCGCAGCGACTGGACACTCGCAAAAGTGTCGGTGGCTTGCAAGAAGAAGCGCAGGTTGTAGGCTGTGTATACCTCGCGGACCACGATGTTTGCTTGCTTGAGGAACATGGGCACAGATTCGATGAAGAAGGCGTCGTCGACGACGCACATGGGAGGGAGCCAGGAGATTTGTCGCCCTTGGCGCATATCGGCGGCTTCAAGCGAGTCCCAGCAGTCCTGGTCGCGGGCGTATCCCATGGCGGCGTATTCGAAGATGTCCTGGCGGAGCTCGAGAGGCAGGCGCAGCAGCGTGTTGCCGGCGGTGCGCGCGTCGGCGTAGCTGTTGATGTAGCCTTGTTCGTTTACAGGCGGACTTCCAGCCATGCTTGTGACTGCGCGAAGAGTGAATGTATGTGTGGAAGGCAGGAATGGGATAGCTACGGTTCATATGTGTTGCGGCGATGGAGCTAAAGACACGTGTTTCAGAGTCAGCCACAACCAGCAGGGATGGCGGCAAGCGAGCTGCGACGTCATTGGTCGAGACTCGCCCTCACGGCAGCACAGCCGCTTTCCTCCCTCACATGACTGACCAAGCTTTCATGCAGTAGGTATTGCTCCTAAAAGTGATACACAGTGTTATTCTCACACATTTCCACTGAATCAGACAAGGTTGTCGCAAACCGAAATTCCCAAAACCATCAGCATCATGGATACACACACAACATCGAGCCAGTTTCGGCTGCCTGGAAAGTTCGATACGGACTAGATCAGCTAGATACTGTCCTATCCGCTCCCGCGGGTCAGCAACAGCATCATCGCCGCTCGCAGACCGACATGAATGGCATATGGGAGCCTGGGAATCGTCAGCACACGCATCATGCGTGGAAGCGACATGACCACCACTCACCTCCGAAGAAGAGACGTTTTGTCTTCACATCATGCCTCGCAACCGACACCCCACTCAGGAACTTCTTCTCTTTATCCTCTAACATCTTCCGAGGAACGAACCGGATTGGCAACTTCTTCTCGAACTTCTCAATCTTGAAGATGGCATTGGTGCTCGAGCGACCCGTTGGGTCGTACTTGCTCCTCCCCACAGCCCAGAAGTCGCCCTTCGAATCCAAGGTAAGCCCGGCGATAGGCATTGCCATGCTGATAGCATGCTTCTGTTTGAACTCAGCCGGGTCTTGCAGCTCAAAGACGCGGATCTTGTCGTCGACGAGAGAGGGCACGTATATACGATCGTCCAGCCCGCGTACCAAAGCACCAGGAACAGGGAGCTTCGCTTTCGTCACGCGGTAGTTGTCCCACCAGTCGTCGTGATATACGAGGCTCCCGCCGCCAAGGATAGGATCCAGCCTCTTCGTCAGTTCCAGCTGCGACGAGCGATCGTTGCTGACGACGAAATTGTTGGATCCCATAACAGCAATGCTGTTCGCGGAATGCATGTTCGGGCTCCAACCGGAGGCAACGAATTTCATCTTTTTATCGCCTTTGCGATGCTCGTAGACGTCTACGGTGGTATTCGCCCCATACTTGTTTGCATCCAGCATAGTTCCGTTCGCGTCGTATGGTGCTCGCTGGTTAACGAGCCAGAAGCGATGCGTTGAGCCGTAATCGAGAAGCTCGACATCAAAGTCCGCAATATCGAGCTTCCCATCGCCCGGTTTGGCGCCGTAATCCGTAGGAAGAATCGGATGCATTTTGAAGAGGCCGTTCTTGAGCGGCTCGTCGATGTAAATGGCCATCATCCTGGAGCGACGTCCAGTGTAGTTGAACTTCGATAAGCTTTACTACGCGTTAGCAGATTTGCTTTAAACATCTTCGATTGTGGAGCCTCACCTAGGATTCCACTCATCCCGCGCTGCCACTCCTGTACACGCCGCGTACAGGACGCGATACTTCTCGTCTAGCCACATGGCTCCACATCCATCCAAGCTCTTGTGCTCAAGGCGCCGACATTTGTACGGGAACTTCTCAATAGGCTGTATGACGCGCCCAAGCCCGAAAGTTACAAAGAGGAGGTTCTTCAGCCACCACTGGTACGCCACTGCCAGAACTGCGATCACCAGAGCAGCATTTCTGAACTTGGCCATGTTTTCTAAAGGCCGCCGATGTTCGGTTCGTTGACCTGCAATTCTTCACTGCAATGTGAACTCGAAGTCATGAAGCGGTCTTCAGCGCTAGCGCGGGGTATTTCAAATGCAGCTCAAGGGATTCCTGCGGGGTGAGGCACGGAGAAATGGACTACGGCATTCGAAAAGACACGTGGAAGTACCCCGAACATCTCTTCTGTTAGGTGCGGACGCAATATCGAGGCGCGGCTAAATGCGGCTGTGATGGGGGCTGCGCTTGTGTACCGGTATGTACACCACCTATGACCTCCGCATTGTTGCCTCCGTATAGTCTCTTGAAAATGAACGGCATCCATGTACTCCAATCTTGAATCCCAGTTTGCGATAACAGCGGATCAGATCCCTAAGGTATCATGGGTGAATTGCATGCCTGGTTGTTTACTCTGATTGGGCGAGACATGCAGCGGTTTGGGGGTTTTCAAACCGCTCTACAAACGGCGAAGATACCTGGAATTACCTGTTGAAGGACTTCCCGTACGTTTTTCTGGCTTGCGAACTGAGAAGATTCCTCGGAGTTGCTGATAAGAGCAGTCGCTTAGGCCCGTGATGTCATCGCGCGTCATGCTGGGCTGCACTTCGAAAGTTACATGACTTTTCTCATTCTTCGCCAGCACTCGATTGCCATTTCGTTCCCATCGGGGAAGCAAAAGAACATTATGCCGGATCCTTGGGAAGAAGCGCGGCATCCGCAAGAAGCCAAGGAGCATTTTCTACGCTACCTGCGCAACGAAGCGCTTCAACTAAATTTCTATCGGGCTCACATGCTGTACTTCGTTACCTGCATTGCCATTGCATCCATCATAGTGTACGGGGAAGGCCTTGCCAACGATCCGGGATCGCAAAATGGCACTAGGCTGCGCTACATTGATGCGCTTTTCCTCTGTTGCAGTGCCATGACCACGACGGGTAGGTTGGAAGCGCGCTAATCTCTCTATACCACTAATCCTGGCTAGGTCTCAATTCGGTGAACTTAGGCACCTTGACTGGTTTCCAGCAGGCTGTGCTCTGCGTTCTCCTCCTTATCGGAAACGTTGTTTTCGTCTCGACATTCATTGTTCTGGTCCGCCGATACTACTTCCGGAAGAAGCTAGCAGATATCGTTCAACACTCTGCGGCGGGTCGCAAAGCATTGCAGAACCTGGAGGATGAGGAATGCGCCCCGCATGATAGCAACAGTGGTCTCAGGCATAGAAGGGTAGGAGAGGGGGGCAGATTGCGCAATGGCAAGCAAAAAGGAAGAGCGAGGTCATCAAGGGAGGGAAAAACGAAGATGGTAACGGGGCGTAGCTACTACCATCAGACCGGTTTCGGATTCTTCCCGGCGCCGTGGGAGACAAAAACCGCTCGCGAATTCTTCGAACGGGTTTTCGGCCGCATTACTTCGCCGCTACGGCCAGAGGAGCATCAATACCTATCGTTTCGGCCGCAACTCGATCCGAGGGGCCGCATACGCGGTCTCAGCGAGCACCAGCGCCTTGAGCTGGGAGGCGTCGAGTACCGAGCGTTACAAGCACTGCTTTTCCTCCTCATAAGCTACCAGGTCTTCTGGCTATCCATTGGCACTTTATTCCTGGTACCGTACGCATACCGATCGGGTGTGAAGAGCATACTCCGCACGTCGCAACCCGGCAACCTGAATCCCGGTTGGTGGGCCTTCTTCTCCGCCGTGACTGAGTTTGCCAACGGCGGGTTGAATGTGCTCAACTCCAACTATATTCCCTTCCAAGCTGACTACTTCGTGCTAATCGTCTCCGGAGCTCTTTCGTTGGCTGGGCAGACGCAGTTTCCCATCTTTCTCCGGTTGATTATATGGGCGCTGGAAAAGATCTACCCCGTCCGATCTAGCTTTAGGCACACTCTAGCCTTTCTACTGCATCACCCGCGCCGATGCTTTATCTACCTGTTCCCGAGCAAGGAGACCTGGTATCTATTGGCCATACAGCTCACCATTGACATGACTGCATGGATATTGTTCGAAGTTCTCAATTTGGGGATGCCACAAGTGATGGCTATTCCAACAGGGACAAGGGTTATCGATGGCCTCTTCCAAGCGACAGGGCTAAGAACCAGCGGTGCCTACATCATCAACGTGAGCTCCTTAGCGCCAGCACTTCTCGTCGCATACCTCGTTATGATGTACATCTCCAGCTTCCCTATTGTCATGGCCCTTCGGAAGACAAACACTTACGAGGAACGCTCCATCGGATTGGATCAGAGCAACGCCGGTGGCGGTCTCGCGCAGCATCTGCGGCGGCAGTTAGCCTACGACATCTGGTTCCAGATGCTCGCTTGGTTCCTCATCTGCATCGTGGAGCGCGGCAAACTCAACTCGGCACAGCCTGGCTTCTCCATATTCTCGATCCTGTTTGAGGTAACTTCCGCCTACGGCACTGTCGGCTTGAGCACGGGCGTTCCATACGACAACTACAGCTTGAGCGGCGCGTTTCAAACGACGAGCAAGGTCATAATGCTTTTTGTCATGGTTAGAGGCCGCCATCGTGGACTTCCCCTTGCGATTGATCGGAGCATACTGCTACCTGGGGAAGAGCTCATGCATAGGATGGACAGGGAGTATAACGAAAAGGGCTGTCTTGATCCCGGTGAGGAAGAAGAGCTGGAAGAGGATATTAAGCAGAGTGGACAGGAGGGCGTTGGGCCAGGCAATGGGACTGAGGAGCAGGACCCTAAGGAGGAAAGATCAGAGGAGGGAGTTAACGGGAAAGGTGGAGACGAAAGTGGACGTGGACAGTTGAGCATAACGTAGACGCATCTCCTAGGATACTCGACTATACATACATTGGGCGCTGACATGTCCCTAGTTGTTGTATCGCCATGGCGTCTTACACATACAATGTAGCTTCCACATTGTTTTCTTACCCTGCAGCCGAAATATATATTTTCTTCCTCGTGGCTAGTAACCTAGCTAGACCCATTCACTGAAACGACGGCAACGCAACGTCCTAGCATCCCGCTGAGACTGATAGCCTAACAACACGATGGCTACTAACCGAGACATCGCTTATTCTTTCGGATTCCTACGACGACGCCGAGCCCGCGTTAAGGTTCCAATCTTCCGCGACCACTTCTCCTTTGCCCGAGATGTCTACCGAGACATTCGTAAAGAAGATCTCAATCTCCCGGATGACGTAGTGACCGTGGACGTTAGGGTATCTCACGATGAGAAATCTGTTCTCTACGCTCTACCCAAGGACCAACTATGCCACGATGCTGCCTTTTTCAAAATTGCACTTTCAGGTCGTTGGCAAGAGGCAGATACAGGCGAGGTGCACCTAAAGGACATAGACCCAGGCCTTTTCAATATGTTTGCATACTGGATACTGACAGGAGCGGAGGTCATGCGTCACATCGAAGACTGGAAGGCTGAGTATGCCGAATACCTCAAATGGGTCGACTGGCTGACGGTGGCTGAACGCCAGAAGGGAAATGGCCCGCCCGACCCGCACGCATTTGCCTCTCCAGTCACGGTGTGGAACTTCGAGCGCACTGTTGACGCATATTGCCTGGGGCAGTTTCTTGGCTGTGCGGACTTCCAGAACCACTGCATAGCGCATCTCTATTATATGAACTTGCGCTTTAATCACTTGCCCACGAAGGCGGATACAGAGGAGTGGGAGTGGTCCGACGGTACCGTCGCTTTCCTTCGCGCCCGCGACGTGCTCACCGCTTGGGAGCACAGCAATTTTGAAGACGATGCGATCCGGCGCTTCTTCAAGACCTGGCTTTCCCGGTATTGGGACGCTTATCCCATTAGCAAAGAGGACCATGTAGCCCGCGATGGGTGGGATGAAGTGATGGTGGAGTGTCCGGACTTGCGCAAGCGCTGGATGTTCGACATGGCTATGCCAAAGATTGAGCCATGGATCATATGGGACCTGACGTTTTACTTCGTTGGGCCGGTAGTTTCCTCGGAGCGTGAACACGCGTGGTCACAGGAGCAATTCAATCCGTACTGGAATGGTGGGGATTGGGATGGCGCGGATGGGGATGGACGGGATTGGCAACATCACGTAGAACTCGCATACGCAGGCCCGGCTGGCGAGTGCTCTTACGGAAGGGGCTAAATAGGATTGTCGAAGTGGGAATTGGGGTGGCCCAGACGAGCGCTCCCGGTCTTAGCCTGTCTACCTATGGTATGTAAGTGACTAATTATATCGTTCTCTTGCGTGTTGCACAAGTCTCTGGCTTCCTTGAGCTCTTCGCCTTCTAGCATTCCGCTGCTTCAACTCACCCATACTGTAGGACCCCACAAAGGGATATAGTTCCGGCGAGCCGGGATGTAACACAGCGAAATAGAAATCCGCTTTTTACCCATGCACGACTCCGCCTAACAAACGCCCTCTCCCTCTTACATGCAAGAACGGAATGGGGAATGCATGGCCAAGTAGCATATGTTACTATCGATAAATCGAAATCTGTTTTACTATTGTTGTGTGATAAAAGCGCTACACCCGACATTGACCCAATCCTGCATATCGAAAGCTCGGAACTTCTCGAGTTGGTAGAGAAGCAGCTGAGCTGGTTAGCATGAGAAAGAAGAAGTTTTAAGATCATCTTTGGGTCCGTTCGTACTTCCATTGTTGATGTTGTGAGAGTTAAATATTCAAGCATCTTAAGCAGTTTACAATGGTGGCGGACGCGATCTTGGCGGAACCGTTCCTACTTGCTCGTCCTCATCGCCCCCATCGGGGAACATGTCGTACAATTCCAGGACCTTTTCCACCTGGACATGATGTAACCCCGAACTTCTGCGGGCTCTTTTGTTAAGGGGGCGTCTCTAAAATAGGGTGTTTAAAATGATACCAGCATCATATAACAAGAATCACGTTGCATGTTCACGACAGCTCTTTTACAATACTTCTTATTGACACAATAATTACATTCTAGTGTGTGAGATAGGCAGGCTAGCCTAGCAATGCTAACGTGCCAGGCCTGAACCCACGATCAGTTCCTCGCAGCTCACAGCATGCTCATGAAAACACAAATCCCACTATACAATATTAGCGACTCACTCCCGTTCAACCAAAGACGACCTCCTACTGACCGAAAAGCTCGCTCAAAGTCTTCTTTGTCTTGCCGTCCTTGGAGTTGGTGGACGTAACTGATCCACAATGTGCCTGGGAGATCGAGTCCGAAACTGCTACCGACTTTCCGCCGTCGAAGACTGTCCGCGGAGCCGTACGTGTACCTGGAGGCAGCGCGTTCGCAAAGACAGCACCCGCACGGGCATACTTGTTCAGCTCGTTTTCCATCTCAGACGGCGTACGGGACGACTTCGACTTGGACGAAGCTTTCGAGACCTTGGACGCGCCGGAATTGACCGATTCACTACGGCAGGAGTGCCTAGAACAGTGGAATGCGAAGGAGTTGGCCTTGCTACTACCGCGCGAGGAGGTCGCAGAGTTGCGTGAAGTGCCCGAGTTGCCGCCCTCAGAGCGATGGGAGGAGCCGCGAGAATGGCCGGACGCATCTGACTTTGCACCACCGTTGCGCTTGGCCTTGTTGATCTCAGCAATAATGCGGGAGGTGATGGCGGAAGGTGCCTTGCCCAGCTTCTGGAGCTTGTCAATGTTTGCCTTGCTCAGATTCGATGCGCCTGAGCCTGCAGTACAACCGGAAACGTTCGAAGAAGCGTAGCTCGCAGCATACGCGTTCCCGTCCTCAATAGCAAGCTGACCCCTACCATATTCGCTACACGAATCCGCCATAGGGATCTCGAGCTTCAGATCCGGCGCCTTGCGCGAATCGCCCTTATGATTATCCACCCTAGCCTGCTCCCAAGCCATCAAAATGAAATCCATACCCATAGCCTGGATAGCATTCGCCATCTTCACGAGCTGGCACCGCAACTCATACGGCATATCAGGCGTGTCCGCAGCGAACCAAGGCCCCGCAAGACCAGCGTAGAAGGTCACGATGAACAGGCCGATGCGCGACTCGCCTAGCGTCCCGAACGTCTTATAGATGAACTGGAAGGGCTCGACATCTGGGACGAACTGGTAGCGCTTCCAGTGGCGCAGATAGAACTCCGTCGCCGCTTGTATCAGGCGGTTCTGCACGTTGAATAGCTTCAGCTGGCCTGCGAGAGTCCAGACTTGCACGATGCGCAGCGGGGTGCGGGAGTCGGTCTTCAGGATGTAGTCGAAGTCATCGTCGCCGTCGAGGTGCTGCACGACGGCTTTCATGGGCTCGTAGGATGCGTCGTGGATGACGGTGCCGTCGGGGAGCTTGCCTAGAATTTCGGAGTTCGAGCGGACGCGGGGCGAGAGCTTGAGCGTGCCGGTTTCATAGCCCTTCTTGACAGTGACAGTAACAGTCATATCAGCGCGAGGCGTGTTGGAAAAAGCGCCGGCGAGGCCTATTGACTTGGTTGAAGCGGAGGAATTGATGGTGGCGCCGGTCATGGACGAAGCGAACGAGTAGAACCAGCCCAAGTTTGCACCACTGAAGATCGACATTGCGCATGCTGTCGAAGATGTGGACTTTGTTGAGATACCTGTTCTTATGACACTTGCCGTTTAGGGGACTTGGGAGTTGGAAAGGTAGGATCTGGGGCTGTGGTGGTTGGTGTGTTGGTGTGTTGGTGTGTTGGATTAGGATCTATGGGAAGTGCTAGAGGCCGTTTTATACTGGGGTTCGCCGATTGTGGTGCGTCAACGATGAGTACGGTGGTTTACAAGGATGGGGAAGTTCATGAACATTGCAATGCTTGATTGGAAACGAAAATGCTTTCGCTTTGAGAAACAGCGCTGACCTCAATGGTATTCTCAATGCATAATGCTACCTAGGTAGCACTCCTCTGCCCTAGCAGTTCCCCTAGGAAACATACTTTATCGCAGCAAATGCCCCCTGTGAGCATTGTACCTATGGCAAACTGCACATCAACGCCGCCGAGGCCATGTCGTGAACCATGACCCTTGGGCACCACCCTGTGGAGCTTGTTGCACGGGCTGCGCATCTCGTCCATTAACCTCCTCTTCTGCATAGAAAGCACCCTGCACACGGCGCGCATCATGCCCCTGGGGAGCATTGTGTACGCGGGGCACATACAACCCTTGCGAGCTCTGTCCTTGCCGAGTCCCGTATCCAGTCGGCTCATACAGGCGTGGAGTGGGATCATTGTGCATATGAGAAGCACCCTGTCTATGCACAATCTGTTCTCGCTGAGTCCTGTATCCTGTCGGATCGTACTGATGAGGGGTGGGATCATACGGTCGTGGAAGGTCCTCCGCATAAGGGGCTGGTCGTCGTGGAGTCGGCTCGCGAATAGTTGAAGCACCAGTTATAGACTCCAGTTCATCTTCCACAAAGGGAGCTGGTGGCCACTTTGGTGGGGGAGGAGGCGCAGCGTTCTCGAATCGGGGAACCTGCCAAGCGTTCTGCGGCGTGGGAGTCGGCAGAGAATGCGGCCACGATCCTGGCAGTGGAGGATGGCGCACGTCCGGTGATTGCGGCTGCATGTCTGGTTCCGCGTATGGATTGCAATAGCGATATTGCGTCCTATTTGCCTGCTGCTCTTGGAAATTCTCAGGCTCATGCTGTGTCTCTGCGTGAGACTTGGGTGGAATGGGAGGCGGCTCGTGGGGCATCTGCGCTTGGGGGCGGCACGGGGTTGGGTAGACGTTTACTACTGTCTGCTGTTGTAGAGCAGCGGGATGTTGAAGGGTGTCCGATTGAGCTTGGGTGGCCTGCAGAGACTGATGCACCTCATGCCGGAAGGGTTCTTCCACAGGTAAAGGCGAAGTTCTATTGTCCGTGCCCCGAGGAGGCTGTTGAGCTGGTGCAGGTCGGGTCTCAGCATCAGGCAGAATAATCTCAAGAGCAGGAGCCTCTGGCAACGCCTTCCGACCAGAAGAAATCCTCATCTTGAAGTTATCCAACGACCTCAATATCTGATCCTCATCCCTGAACTGGACGCGCGCTCCAAGCCTCACAATCCTCTCCCGGATCTCAGGTCGAAGCTCCCGGACATCTTCATAGTCAAGGTCCATAGATGGGCCATGGCGAAGGCCCGCGTACCACGCGATGAGGAAATGCTCGATCTTCGGGTGCGTGTTAGGGCCGAAGACGTCTCGGATGTACTCGAAAGCCGGGGCGTTGATGCTCACCACGAAGCGGGGGCGCTTCCTGAGATGCCGCAGGTACTGCTCGTGGAAGCGGTCGATGAGTCTGTCTTGGACGTGGAAGAGGCCGAGCTGTTGTGCTAGTATCCATGTCTCCACAAGCATGGCAATAGCATCGTGCCTCGCGATTCGAATAATAGCGTTAAAGCGCTCATCACCATCCAAGTGCGCAAGCATGACTTCGAAGGCACGCGGGGTCGTGCCGTTGATCACGGCGCCGTTAGGGAGGGCTTGGAGCAGCTCGCAGTTTACGAGGGCCTTCTGGCTAAGGACGAAAGTCTCCCGCCGATCGCGAGCTCCCACCGTGATAGTTTTGCTGCAAATATTAGTGTCGTGGATATACATTGATATGAGTTTGGCTTACCTCGCATCCATGGCTCCGTGGCACAATGGGGGTCTAGAATCCAGTGATAGGGGGGAGCGTTGAGAGATTGAGTACGGGCGATGAGCTGGTAGGTTGTGTAGAGAGTGCTCTGATATGAATAGTCTCCTAGGGGCAAGCGGCGGGTCTAATATAGGGTTGAGCCCATTGTTCACTAGAGCATGGTAGACCAAGAACCCTAGACGCATTGTACTGGTTGCTGAGCTATTGAATTCCTCCTCTGTGTGTGAATGATCCGGAAGTGAGGACGCAGTGAATCGATAACGACACCTCCTTAGGCGTGCACAAAGGCTACACATCGTGTTCCCGCGGGTGACCTCAACGGGTGAAAGCTGTTATGTAGTCAACAGACAGGCTTCGAGTATATGCGAAGACAATGAGCAACGAAAGGATTGAGTGGTCGGAAGTTTCGCTCATGCCTTCTCATCTAAACACCTCTTAGTGATTGTCTCTTGTGAGCGTATTTGCTACAACAAACAAACAAAACAAAGAGAATCAGGGAGAACAAAGAATGATCATGATGCTTCGTAAGACACGAAATGATGAGTATATTCAGAAATAAAGATATATCTACAGATAAATAGAAATACTATGCCGAGGTTCTAGCAACACGAAAGTCAAGCAAGAAGCCTAAAGGAAGGCACGGGCGTGGCGACGAGCGGCGCGACGAGCGTTCGAAGTGCCCGTCATCTCCTTGAGCCAGGTGATGAACTGCTTAACGGTGAAGTTCTCGGGGAGAGTGGAACCGGAGTCGCTGCCCTGGGAAGGGGTAGAAGTAGCGACTGAAGCGGTTGGGGTAGTAGCGGTGCTGGTCTGGACATTCTGCGCGACGGTCGGCGTGGCGGTAGCGGAAGCGGACGGAGTGGCAGCAGGGGCAGAAGTGGATGCGGCAGAGGACGATGCAGCAGGAGCGGAGCCAGAGCCGGAGCCAGATCCGCCCATGGTGAAGTCAATGCAGGACTCATAGGTCTGATCGATGCTGCGGGCGTCCCACCACCATTGGATGACGCAGTCTCCAGCAGTGGCGCACTCGTCACCGAGATCGGTAGGCATGGTGATGGAGAAGTTGGTCTCATCCTCGGTAACTCCTGTAGCGGTGGAGGCATAGTCGGTCCAGCTTTTAAGTATAGAGCCGACCATGGTGTCCGTGCTGGCCTTCACAATGGAGACGTTGGCGGTTCCAGTGTGAGGAGCAGCGATATTGACGACAATGGGCACCTCTTGCCCTGCGGTGTAGCTCTGGACGTTCGCCGTGTTGTCCTCGTACTTCATGCCCTTGCAGAGCCAGATATCGCATGCGGCAGCGTCGAAGTCAGATTGGGAAGAGGCAATCTGGAGGGCGGTCTGCACGTTTCCGTTGATGTCGGAGCTGAACATGTTGAACACCTGCTGGCCGCAAGCAGCCTGCATGGCATCACCGGGCGAGCGAGCAGTCGGTGATTTGATGTAGCCATGACCGGCGACGGTGGAGACGAAAGCGGCGAGGCCAATAGCTGCAGTGTAAGACTTCATTGTGGCTGAAGGTATCTGAGATGGGTATATCAAAAGTAGTGACTGTGAAGGAAGCCTAGCTTCGGTTGAAAGAGTGACGAATGGAAAGAGTGAATGTGAAGAACGAATGGAGGTCTCAGACCAAAGAACGACAAGAAGCCTTGATGAAAAGAATTGTCGGTAAATGGTGGACGGTGGGACAGAAGAAAAGCGGGATACCTATATAGCTCCCACCGAATCATGCCATTTCCCATACTGCCCCTCGGTGGGCCATGTCATCAAACGTTCGAAACGGAATCCCGCTGGGTTCCGCCTCGCAACATCGCTTCGTGACTTGTACATCCAAAGGTGGATTGGGCGTCTGCCAGCGCAAGGGTGCCAGGCAATGCGTGAAGCTTGTCTCGTATGCCTGCAGATATTAAACCACCAATAAAACGAGGTCCGAGGCAGTAGGAACCGCGCATGATGAACGACTAGGCTAGAGCTCTGGAGAGGCGTTTCCACGATAGCGGCAAGCCATGTCGGAGGCAGTCGGCTAGCTGCTTTGCGGCATACAAGCGAGTCGTCTAATCCGATGGAAGCGCCGAAGACCTGGATTGAAACGTTCGGCCGGCTGCGGGCGGTTTCATGTTTACAGGAATCATGCGAAACGGATGACGGCAACTTTTCGGCGAGGAACAAGCGAGGTCCACCCACGCGGCACTCTATATTGCAGGAGCTTGACATGCGTCAGACGTGGCGGGTTTGACGGCAGTGATGATATGTAGAAAGAGGGTCGAGATGGAAGCTGAGGTGTAACGGAGACGGAGGTCGTGGTTCAATTTTGTGCTGACCAAACTAGGCTACTTTGGGACTAATGGCTTTTCCCACCTCACCCCTCACTCCATCAACTTGCGGACCGACAACACAATCCACCGAACATCAATGAATGAAACGAAATATGCGCGGCAGAGCGATCTCAATCTTTAATGCCGCTATGCGTCAGAAACCCTCCAGACCAACCGCTCACCGCTAGCCTCCTTCCTCCTCAACCCATTCATCGCCGCCTGCGCCCTCTCCAGCAACGTCCTCCCCTCAACAATCCTCTGAGCATTCGGCTCAACAATCCCCTCCTTCAGCATCGCATGCATAATATCTGGCTGGAGATGGTACTTGAAGAATTCGTTCTAGCCCGAATTAGCCCCCTTCTCGTTTTGTAATTTGAAGCCGAGAGTACTCACGTCCAGGTAATTATGCGTCCTAACTCCTCTCGCATCAACACCCTCCTCCCAATCCGCCGCTTTCCTCACATCCATCTCATAAACCGGATCCTGCGTCTCGCTCGAGTCCCTGACTATCACGGGCAGCAAGACAGCGACCCTGGCGCCGGGCTTCGCAAGCTTCGAAATCGGCTTGATGCTCCCTTCCTGGCTGCCGATGCAGTCGAAAATCAGTGGAATGCCAGCCTTACCATCATCCGCAGACAGCGAGGTTCCGACATCGAGGATCGAAGACACCGCATTAGGATCATTGTAGTCGAACGTGCACTTCGCCCCGAGCGACTGCAGCTTCGCATGGTGTCTCTTCGACGCCGTCGCGAGGATGTTGGTATATCCGTAGTACCGCAGGATCTGTATGGCATACTGGCCGACCGACGAAGAGCCGCCCCAGATGAGAATAGGCGCGCTCGCGCCCTTCGGCACGTAATTTTCGGGCTTAGGCCACGGCGTCTCGATGCCTAGGTCCGTGGTAAGGGTGTGGAAGACGGTGACGAAGTTGTCGGGAAGCGTGACTGCCTCGGGCAAGGTGAATCCCTCCGGTAGCTATCACCTGGTCAGCATGGTTCTAGTGCAAAAGAGATACTAGGTAGGGGGAGGCTTGGGCACTTACCTTCGCGAACAGCCACTCGTTCGTCGTGCAGTACTCCTGATGCGCCTTCTCCTGCTGGCTCCTCCACGTGAAGCCGAACACCTTATCCCCTACTTTCAGTCTCTTGACGTCCGGACCGACCTCCACAACCGTACCGGCCGTTCCGTCGCCAAGGACCTGGGGAGGCTTGACGAGCAGCCCGCCGTCGTTTTGGTGCAGATCCAGCGGCGTTGAAGCGGTCCATTCGACGCGCACGCGGACTTCATCGCCCGTCGGCTTGACGGTGGGCACTTGGCGGATCTCGAGGGGCTTCTTGAGGCCGACGGTCACGACGGCGGCGTGGGTTGGCATTGTGGTGGGTTTGGGTATGCGTGGGGTCACGTGAGAAGAGTTTGTTGGACTTGAGTTCGTTCAAGGCAAAAGAGGCTTGAGATTGAATGCTTCTCTTCTACTCACCATCTGCTTCTTCTTATACTTACAGTTGCTCCTTTGCGCATTACAAATGCGCGTTGTTGCTGACCTGGCCAATTTTCGCGCTAGCGAATGTTTCCCGTTTGGGAATAGATCGCCCTACGATCTGTGGAGAGACCTATATGGCGACCATACCACAGCATACGTCATTGCATCTTTCCGATGCCCAAGCCGTTATCGAGGCAATGGGAGCTGAGGTTATTAGTCACCCTGTGTATCTGCAACCGATGCCGTCCGGCGGAGTCGCTCCTGGAAGATTCTATGCCGAGAATTGGCTGACTTGTTCACAGGCTTCGCTGCAATAGCTTGATATCGTGGACGAATGGCTGTTTATTCAGGTGCGTTCACGCGACTGGAAAGAAAGGATGGAGAAGACAGTTCGTTATTAGGACTTCATGTTGCTTTTGTGTCTTGTGCATGAATTTCCGGCTGAGATACGAAGACGGTCTCTTATACTAGCGTCGGAAACGCAACCTGCCTACGCAAAAAAACAAGTCCCCTACTTCCTCTCGCTCTCATCTCATCCCGGTCATCGTCACCAAACCCCCGGCCGAACATCAGACATACATATCATACGTAATCCCATTCAAGGGAGCATCCAGCTCAAACCACCTGATCCCCCAATTCGCCTCCGGAGCCGACGGCTGCAGCAAGAACTGCGCCGGCTCACCCTTCTTGCATCCGAAAATGCCCCCATACATGGTCGTATTGCCATCGGGAAATATCTCGATGGAAGCAACCAGCTCAATAGGCTGGGGACGGTTGTTCCACGTATCGGTGTCCTTGTTCATCGTGGGCGTAATGGAGGAGATGTTGAAGGTGTAGGGTGCGTAGCCCCAGAGCCACCACGGGGCGTCGAGGCTGAGCTCGAAGTGGAAGGCACACCAGGTGGCGCCGTTCACTGGCGGATCGAAGGACATTTCGGTCCAGACCTGGGGGTGTTAGGGGGGGATGAAGAGCGGGGGTGGAGGGGCTTTACGTACATCGCGCTCGATGTCGAATTCCTCCTGGGTGTTGAAGACACGGTCGGGCTCCAGTCTGCTGACAGGGATGATGAGGTGAGGGAAGTTTCTGCTGATGAGGGTATCTGCGAGGGAACGCAGTCCGAACAGGAGAGGACAGAGTGCAAGAGCGCGCATGTTGAAGTCTTGGGATCTGCGGAGAAAGATGCGTGGGCTTTGAGGTGGAGAGTGTATGAACTGCCTGAGAGAGACTTTATACTCCTGTAGCTGGAATCCGGTAAATAGCGCCATTTCCGTTTTCAGCACTGTGCCATGGTCGTGACGAACGTGTGTTCCTTTCCGGAGGAGCTGGTGCTACGCGATGGGTGCACAAAGTGGCTTTCGTGAGTGCTGAGAGAGAGAATTGCCCGCTTAAGATGTCATGGTAGAGCACACGAAGACGACCGGTCAATTGCTAGGCTGGAGGTAGTTAATGAGTTCATGTATCGAGTGTTGGATCAATATCAGGCCCGGTGCACCGTGAGCACCCTCTAGTATTGCTCGTAACAGCGATCGGCGATGCCATGAGAGAGGCCTGAGTCACTCGAGGCGCAAGCTGGCGGGAGTGCCTGAATTCTCGACGTGGTCCGGCTTTCCCGTGCCCTTTGTGGGGTATTCTTTGCATCTGACAGTGCCTGCGCTAGCTTTATACTGCATAGCTTGAGTCGAAGCTTTCGAGCCATTATATAACACGAAAGGGGTAGCATCGAATGGTAACTCTCACGATGCGGCCCTCGGAGGTTGACATGCAATGGTGTGGGACGAGGCAGCCACAGAAATTGAACTGCCCCCAGAGTCGAGGCAAAGAGGCCGCTCGTAGAACCGTCAACCGGCTGTCCAGTGGGATCTTTCGACGGACTATGCGTTCGTTGACGAGTCTCTTGCGGTAGGGAATTCTCCGGATCTAAGGGCTCGCCGTATAAGTAAGTAAGATTGGCTTGTCTATTGTACGCACCCGCGAGGGCCTCTAGGGTAGCTGTTGCGCACGTCGTTCTATCCGGAGAATTCCACACCGAGCGAGTATAGGTAGTAGAAGACAGACGGCGTTGACGTCAGCTCTTATCGATAAGGCCAAGCGGGACCTCGGATCTGATCGTGCGTCATAACTCAAGACGAGCGAAACGCCCAGACGCCCACCACGACCAATTCGTTATCGCCTGTCCTAGATGCGTGCCATTAAGCCGGCGACATGCCGCTCCCGCTCCACATACGATCCGCCTTGAGACAGCCGTCTTGCAGGCCTCGGCCCCGCCTTTCCAGTCTCGCGCGTCGCAAGCTTCACCTGGCGCCTCCGTGGCTGCTCGACGACTACATCCCGCGGTACCATCTCATATCGTCCATTGACGCAGCGAAGAAGCGGTCGGAGGCGTATGCGCATCTGCGGGAGTGCAATCTGTGCCCCAGGCTCTGTGGGGTCAACCGGTATGAGAAGACGGGCGTGTGCTTGATCGGGGCGGAGACGGTAAAAGTCAACACCATTGCGCCGCATTTCGGAGAGGGTAAGACAATCGCGCACCGACTGGATAAACTCGGGCAGAGGTGCTGATTCGCGCGGCTAGAGCCGTGCCTGCAAGGGCACAACGGGTCCGGCAGCGTATTCTTCTCGGGCTGCAACCTGCGCTGTGTCTTCTGCCAGAACCACGATATCGCCCACCAGCGCAACGGCTTTGACCTGACGCCCGAGCAGCTCGGCGAGTGGTACATGAAGCTGCAGGAAGTCGGCCACTGCCACAATATCAACCTCGTCACGCCCGAACACGTCGTCCCGCAGGTGGTGCTCGCCATCCTCCACGCGCGCGAGCTGGGTCTGCGTCTGCCCATCGTCTACAACACGTCATCCTTCGACTCGCTCGAGAGCATACAGCTGCTGGATGGGCTGATTGACATATACTTGCCCGACTTCAAGGTGTGGAGCGATAAGACCAGCAAGAGGCTGCTGAAGGCGGACCACTACACGGCGACGGCCATGGAGAGCATCAAGGCCATGCATGCCCAGGTCGGCGATCTCTGCTTCACGGCAGACGGCATCGCAAAGAAGGGCGTCTTGGTGAGGCACTTGGTCATGCCGGGCAAGGAAGACGAGGGGCGCGAGATTGTCAAGTGGCTGGCCGAGAATGTGTCGAAGGACATGATGGTGCACATCATGGAGCAGTACTTTCCCCGCGCTCACGTGGGGAAGCCGCGACGGGGCGCGAGAGATGACGACGCCGTGGTGGAGCCGGGCGGCGTGCCCGCATCCGGGGAGACCAAGGCCAAAGTGCGCTACGAGGACATCAATCGCCCGGTCGATCTGAGCGAGGTGTCTTCGGTCAAGAGGGCGGCTGAAGAAGCCGGCCTGTGGCGGTTCGTCGAGCCAGCGAGGCACGGAGGCTTCAATATATGAACCGGTTGTTGTGGTGGCGATAATACACTGGCCGCGCCTGCCTCCCTCATCGGAGCCTGCCGTCTATGAACAGGCGAGATGGCATGACGAATTCATCACCAGACTGCCCTCCAGTCCACCATCACAACAACAACAACTCTGCATCAATCCACGCATTTCTACAATGCCGTCCATCTCCAGTGCTGATTCGGAATGCACGGAACTGAGCTTGACGTTCGACATCGAGACTGCCGTCCGCAACGTGAAGGAGGAGCGAGATACGTGGCGAGTAGTCGCCCTCCAGTACAAGGCGGCTTTCGAGGCCCAAACAGCTCGCCTTCGAGAACTCCAGGATATCTGCATTGCCACGCAGGCGGAGCTGGAGAACGAGAGGACGGCACGCAAGCGCCTGCATACCAAATCGGAGTCCTACCAGTACGAGGAGCCGGGCCGTGTAGACGGTGCTCATGACCCTGACGACTGCCCATACCCCGGCAGCGCGACAATCCTAGAGCCGACCCAGATCAAGAGCACGTGGCAGCCAGCAATTCCGCCATGCTCGAATATGTGCTTCCGCCGAGTGGAGCAGTTCGCCAACGAGTGCGACTATGGCACCGCCCTCAGGGAGGTCGACCATCTATTGCGAGGACCGCTTACCACTGGAGCCCGGGCCGAAGGTCTCCTTCTCAAGAGCAGCATCATGCGGAAAGCCGGGCCTGAATGGCTTTACGACTCTCTAGCGGCCTGCAGTGAAGCCCTTGAGCTTTGCGATCGGCTGGCTGAACTGCATAGCTATCTGCCACAAATTCAATACCAGCGAGGTGTCTGCTACTATCAGCTGAGGATGCTTCAACACGCCCGAGATGCTTTCGCCAACGTCCGCGGAGACGAACGGCTCCACGCAAAAGCCACAGAGTTCCGTCGATCGTGTGAAGAGGAGCTAGAAGTGCTTCAGGGACGCCGACTGGCTTTCGAGGAACGTCGCACTGTCACGGAAGGGCTTCTGGCCCAGTTTTGTGAGGGTCGAGCTGAGGTAAGCCGCGGCTTGGTGTTTAGTGCTGCACCCTCTAACTGCTCTATAGTCAAAGCGACGTCGCACCAGCTCACAGATCAGACTCCATGCGTCCAAAGCGAAGCGTTTGTCGCTGCCGCATCGATGGGTGGCAAAGGCTAAATAAGGCAGCCTGGGGCCTGGCTCAAGAAGCCGTCCGAGCTCGCAAAGAATAGATGGATGCATACAGAAGGTTAGGAGGATGCCATTCGATATCTTGGCTGTGAGCCGATTTTGCATGAGTGGTCAGGAGGGTTCTGGCCCTTGTTTCGCAACACAATCTTCATTGTTCTCATCTCTTCTTTGACTCACGACTATGTTCCCTTTGTTGACATATCCCCCAAACGTTCCGCATAGCTCACAAAGGACACGAGATTAGGCCTATTGAACAAAGGAGAGGTGGGCAATTTCCACGCGCACCTTGAAACCAGCTACTCCCTCACAAACCACCGTTGTCTGCACGAGTACACATCATGGTCAACGACGAAAGAGTGGGACGCCGGCGTTCCCAGAGTGATGACATTGATAGACAAGATGCGGTCTCTGATTCCGGCACCCGCGCGCCGATAGCTGCAGCGAACCCGAGACAGCGCATCAGTCCTAGGCCGCCAGTTCCTTCAGCTTCGGCCGAGCCGGCGCAAGATACCGCCCGACGGCTGGATGCTCGATCTTTACCGGCAGTCCTAGAAGATAGCAACGCAGGAGGGTCATGGTCGCAGTCGAGGCGTCGCTCACATTCGCCGCCTATACGTCGAAAGCTCGCATTATCGCCTCATATCGCCTCGATCCACGAGCGCCTTCAAACCAGGATCGATTCTGTCCGTGCCGACGCACCGCACCCAGACCGACTCCGACGTGAGCTGACAGAACGTTTCGTACGCGATCGTAATGGCGTTCGTAGGGTTGACCACGAGTTCAAGGTAGACACTTTGTCAGAGGAAAGGAAGCATCCATGGGAAAGAAACCAGGACGGTCACGGGCTACAACACCGACGAGACAAGAACGGGCAAATTCGGGCATATAAACAGCGAGCGCGGGGTGCCTCAGGCGATGAAGAGTTGGACAATGATGCAAGAATACGTCTGAGTGCCGAAGACCTGGAAGCGCTGGAGATTGGCGAGAATGGAATGGAGCTCAATGGCACTCTTTTACAGACTGAGGCCGATGACACAAGCCCCCGCCCAGCAACCGAGAGAGCCTCCCGAGATGCGACCAACCCAATTCCTACGATATCAATCGATGGAAGGTCCCTACAGGGGTCGGAATCATTGCCACCACAACCGCAGGCAGTACATATCTCCGGCGGTCGATCTCCGTCTTACGACGCTAGAGATAGCTCGCCTTCACATCGCGGCCCTAGCCATCTTCCCGCGCATGTATCCGCCTTTGAATACGCCATGTCTCCGTTTCTACGAGCGCACCCTAGGTATCTCGCTTGCCTGCAGCCGCCATCTCCGTCATCCGAGTCGAGTTTCACTTTCGGCCCTGCGTCGCCACGACGCCGGCCACCCGACCCCGACGAAATCTCGGTAAACACTGATGAACTGCGCCCTTCCACCCCTCCCGCCGACGGCATCCCGCCGATTGTAGAACACAAGAAGAGTCTACGAGTCCGCATCAAAGTCCTGCGCATACGCGTCGCGCTGATGCGCTGCGCGGTCCTCGCGCGCGCGGCGTGGGAGCTCGAGCACAACCCATGGAAGTCCGAGACTGCCGTGTACCGGGAGTATTCGAAGATGGGCAAGATCGCAGATGGCGCGCTCGACCTCGCGCGAGAGCTCAAGAGCGACGGTCTGCAGGCGCGGTGTCTGTACTGGAAAGGGCGCGCGTGCGGGGGAAAGAGGTACTGGGACGAAGCGGTTCCAGCGTTTCGGCAGGCGGAGCTACTGGATACTAGGGAGGACGACGCTGGAGAAGGAGAAGCACAGTGCAGGCTCACCCGCACGGAGCGGCAGGATCTCAAGTTCCTACTTGAGAGCGCGAAAGCGCGGGCAGAGAACGAGAAGGAAGAAAGGGAGCTTAGGTATAGGAGGGATGAGGAGAGAGCTTGGCAAAGGGCGGACTTGCTCGGCAGGGGTTTCGAGGAGGTGGTGCAGTGGAGCAGGAGTCCGCCGTGGCATCCGGATATGGAGAGGATAATGCAGGGGTGGATGGCGGAGAGGGGAGGTCATGGACAGGAAGAAGGTGCGGATGTAGCTAATTCCGGCGGCGAGGATGAAGAAGCCGGTGGGATTGTCTGGAATGCTGAGGCTCAGGAACAGTGGGTATTGCGGCCCCTCACGAGGGAGGAGCGGTGGTACATCGAGAATGGGGGCCGGATATCCAAGAGAATGGGGAAGAGGGATCCTCGCGCAATGGATGATCGGGATTCTACGGGGCTCGGGGTTGCGGATGTCTGTGTTAAGCCCTGAGCGAACTTGACTGGGAGGAGGTTAGATTGGATTGTACGATGTGTCAGTTTGAAGTCGAGGTGTCAGGAAACTCTACGAAGGTCTCTAAGCTGAATTTGCAGATGGAACTAGATAATATGGTAGACAGAGGGTTCGAATACATTCCGTTTCTTACTTAGTCTGCGAGCGTTAGACTCTTAGATGCGTGGTTGTATGCCTGGGTACGTCGTCTGAAGTGCGCTCCGTAACGGGAGGGCTTCAGTATGCTTTGAGAGAGAGTGAACCGACATGCTCCAGCCCAAAGTTCTTTGCGGAAGCTAATCCATCTCTTTGATTAGATTTCTGGCTGAGTCTTGGTGCCATGCGGAACCCACCGGTTGAGGTGCGGAGCCGACTTTCACCGAAGGTGCGAGATGCACCGCCACACCTCGCCTCTCGCCTTTCGACGCATGGAAACTGCGTTGCACCTAATTCTCTATACGGTGGAAGGAGTGTTCTCTTCGATGACGGGCTTTTTGTATCGGAGGGTGGATTGGACTTTGCGCTGGGAGCGAATGTATATTTGTCCGAGCTCGCTCATCCCAACCGCACACACCATCACAGCACCGCAGCTCAACCGCGCAACCAACATCGCCGACTGCCCCACGCTTTCTCTCCCCTCCATCCCCACCCAGCATGCCTTCCCTCGCTGACGCAGGCCACCTCCTAGGTGCCGGCGTCGACCTCGCCGTCGTCAGTTTCGACCATCCCGCCGCCCAAGTCGCCATGGGCCTCATAATGCTGCTCAGCTTCGGCTTCGCGCCCGTCTTCCTGGGTATGACGGACGGCTACGTCGACATGCGATACGTGCCGGTGGTGTAGCCGCCGATTTATGTGGACGACGGAGGGGAGTCTTCCGGCGAATCGCGGGTTTATCTTCTTGCCAGCAATGCACCCCCACGAAGGAACCGTGTGAATACGACGACGACGTATTCGCGGCGAACGCGGACCTGCGCCTGCGCTCTGAGGTCAGCCGTCAGGAATTCAAACTCACAGATGAGAAGAACACCGCTACGCAGCAGCAGCGCCAGATCGCGGGGCTAGAGAAGATCGAGAAGAACCCGCGGCTTGAATACATCAGGCGGAGAGTGGATACCTACCAGAAGCAGAGAGAGGCGCCGAAGCCAAAAGACGCCAATTGCCGCGCAGCTCAGCAAGCTCTGCCTAGCGGAAGCAGTGCGTGCCCGCAGCTGCGGCTTTCAAGTACCAGTTGCTACTATTTTCAGGCCATCCGTATTTTGATAACGACGAAGTCGAGAAGCTACTCGGCCTTACAACAGAACTGGAAAGTACTCTGGGCTGCATGCTGAAGGGCATCAAAGATAAGAAGTCGAGGGAAGGCAAGGGTGCTGAGTTGTGCGCGTCTCACGACGTGGCTCTGTTGTGAGAAACTGTGCTGGAAGGAGGGGATGTGTAGTTCTTTGGTTTGGAGCGGCGCGGGGTGGATGCGTACCCGGCCTCCTGGGGATCTTCGATACTCTGATCGTATTGGGATGGATGTGTACTCATGCAGATGCAGAGGAACTCCAAGCTCTCTAAGTTCATTCGGGAAGTTCTTCGGGAAGTTCTCCGGGCATGGGAGAGGAGGATATATGCTGTCTAAAGAGGAAGCAGGGCGGTTTAGAGTGTTGATTTGTACTCCATCTGCTGAAGGGCTTCGGGACCGGGTTTACAGAGTCGGGTTTCATGTACGGCGCAGTGGAGATTGGAGTGTGTATGTGGAGGGCTGGAGGCTTTTAGTGCGTAATGTGTGAGGTCGATGTGGTAAGAAGGGAAATTGGATTTGGAGTGCGTATTAGAAATCTTGGAGGCCTTCGGTGCGTGAAGCGTGACGTCGATGTAGTAAAAAAGGAAATTAGATTTAAGGTATGTATCTGGGATCATGGAGGCCTTCGGTGCCTAATGCATTCCGTGGATATAGTAAAAAGACCAATTACATTTGGGGTACGTATTTGATATCTTGAAGGCCTTTAGTGCATAAGCGTTCTATCAATACAGCGAAAAGGCCAACTGTGTTTAGGGTACGTATCTGGTATCCTCAGGTACGTCAGCCCACCATCCGCGGTGAGACTTCATCAAGCATATTCACACAGGAAAAGAAAGGAGAACTCTGCACGATGGTGAGCCTCATTGATGAAGAAATCATGTTCCTCCTCATCTTATCTTTCATCGAGAAAATCACGTCCCTCTTCATTCGCTCTTTCGCGATGAAGAAATTACCTTCTTTCACCCACTCTTTCCCCGATGAAAGTCACGTTCCTCTTCATTCACCGTTTCGCGGCCTCACCAATCCAAATCAGGAATAGTCCGCAACCTCACCGCAAATCTGCCCAGCAGGTATAAAGCGCCGCTCCCTCCCTCCAACGCTCCTTTTCTCTCCCACCTCAAGGCATTTCCGCTCAAGGTAAACGCGTCACTCTTTCCCAATTATCGCATGCTCAACTAACCCGGGACTATAGAAGCTCTTCAAAATGCCAGGACCAATCCAACACACCGCCAGCTCCACTTCCTCCTTCGCTGCGCAGCTGGCGCAGCTGAAGCAGCTTCAAGAGCAGCAGTCCGAGCTGCTCAAGGAGCTCATGCAGAAAGCGGAAGAGCAAGACAACATCATCACCGAGTACAAGGAGCGCACCGCCCGCCTCGAACGCGCCGCCGAAGTCTCCGAAGCCCGCCGCCGCGAAGCCGTCTCCCACCTCCTCAACCTCCGCACCGCCCACCAAGAGGCCTCCAATGCCTTCGACCTGCGCACGAGGGACATGCAGGCTGACGACTTCGAGAGCGCGATCATCGCCTGGGGCACGATGGTCGGCACGGTCATGTACGCTAAAGCAGCACATCCCACCCCTGCTATCTCCTCTCCCCTCCTTCAAGAGAGACACTCCGCTAACCAGTCCAGGAACCACCATCAGCAAGTCCTACGCCACGGCCCGCTCCGCCCCGCGAGCGCTCAGCCTGTCACCCTCTACGCTGGACATGTCCACGGATATGGACCTCACCTCCCGCGCCCGGCGTCCCAGGCTCCCGAGCTGGGCGTCCCGATCGGCTACGCGTACCCGGGGGGCTACAACGAGTACGGCTACTGCGGGGCGCACAATGCGCCGTATCCGTGCCGCTGGTGCGGACCCTTGGGCCGTTGAGTGGGGTTGGACCGTCAGCTGGGAGGGCTCTTTTCTCGATCGCCGTTGCTTTCGCTTCTAAGGTATGCTGTTAATTTCTTTGCTGCTATTGCTGCCTACTGCCTGCTGCCTGCTTTGTATTTGAAATTTCTTTTCTCGAGGGGGGTTTGGGCTGGGTCGGACTGGACTGGACTGGGCTGGACTGGGTTGGTTGGACGGATGATTGGGGCCTGAGGGCCTTGACGGAGGTGTATACCTGGTCGGATTTTCTTTGCTGGGTGGATGGTGATAGGACTCCGGAGGTCTTCTGGGTACCGTAAAGCAATGCTGAATTGCGATGATTGGAACGCTTCTCTTCTACGTGACGTACATACCTGAAGCATCTTGGGATGCCCTATACAGTACATGACAGTGAGCCTTGCCTTGACTTGCGCGGATGCAATTCCCTTCGAGCCCCAGCTATGCGATATGGGCTGGAGCATCCCGGGAACCTTCATCCCCTCTCCGAACGGAGCAGGAAAAGAGATAATGTGATGGAATTGCGCTCAAAGCTATAACACACAGAAAGAAAGAAAGAAAACACATTACCACCCACACCAATTGCTCTGCGTCAATCCCGATGCCCACCCAAGGGAAGACAAGCCCTCTCCCAACTCCACTTGCCTATCCCAACCTCACTCCGTCAGCGCCTTAAACGCCCCCTGACTCACACTCTTAAACCCCCCATCCAAATTCACAACCTCATACCCCGCCTGCTTGAAAATCCTATAAGCCAAATACCCCCGATACCCCACGAAGCAATACACCAACACCTTCCTACTCTTCTCGACCTCGCCGAGCCGTCCCCTCAGCTCGTTCAGTGGGATCAACTTCGCGTTCTTCATGTGGCCTTTAGCGTACTCCCCGGGGCCGCGTACATCGACGACCTGGTACTCTTCCAGCGTCTCCGCAGTCAGCTGCTCAGCGTGAACGATCTCCGTGTCCTTGCGCAGGACATTGGACGCGACGAAGCCGGCCATGTTGACGGGGTCTTTCGCGGAGCCGAACGGCGGCGCGTATGCGAGTTCGAGATGCTCGAGGTCGTAGACCGTCATACCGGCCGTGATACAAGTAGCGAGGACGTCAATACGCTTGTCGACGCCGTCCTTGCCGAGGATCTGCGCGCCGAGGATCTTGCCGTCTGCCGGGGAGAAGGCGAGCTTGAGCGTCAGTGGGTTGGCGCCGGGGTAGTAGCCCGCGTGGTTCGGGGGGTGCACTGTGACGTACTCGGCTGGGATGCCCTGGGTCTTCAGACTGAAGAGCGAGGGGCCGACGAGGCCGACGTTCACGTCGAAGATCTTGCACATGGAGGTCCCGACGTTGCCTCTGTAGGCGACGGCCCTGCCGAAGATGTGGTCGGCGGCGAGACGGCCCTGGCGGTTTGCTGGGCCGGCGAGGGCGAGGTTTTGCGGTGTGTGCGTGATCATGTTGGTGGTGCATGCCATGTCGCCCACGGCGTAGATGTTCGGATCTGAGGACTGCATCTGTGCGTTTGTGACGATGCCAAAGCGGTTTGTGGCGAGGCCAGCGGCTTCTGCGAGCTTTACTCGAGGACGCACACCGACGACGAGGAGGATGACGTCTCCTGGGACCTTTTCGCCGGATTCGAGGACGATGTGGCTCGGTTGTCCTTCGCTTTCTGGGGCTGCGATCTCTTGGATGCGCGCGTTGAGGTGCAGAGACACGTTGTTCTTGCGTATCTCGGTGTGGAGTGGTTCTGCGATGTCCTGGTCTACGGGAGGGAAGACGTGTGGTAGATACTCCACAATGGAAACTTGCATGCCGAGCGCGACGAGTGACTCTGCGGCTTCGAGGCCGATAAAGCCGCCTCCAATGATCGCAACGGATTTGCTGCCGTGCGAAAACATGTACTGCTTGACGGCGGTCATGTCCGGGATGGTCTGCAGGGTGAAAACATTCGGTGCATCCGCGCCCTTCATGGGCGGTCGAAACGGTTCAGCGCCCTGCGCCAGGATCAACTTGTCATACTCCATGCTCTTGACTTCTTCCCCAGTCCTATACTCCACCGTCTTCTTCTGCCTGTCAATATTGACGACTTCTGTATTATGCCGAATGTGAACATTGTAGCGCGCATTAACCGAATCTGGGGTCTGTAGAATGAGAGCTTCGTCCTTCGGAATGATGCCACCCAGCGCATAGGGGATACCGCAATTTGCGTAGCCGACGAATGGCCCCTTCTCGAAGATGGTGATATTGGCTAATTCGGAGAGACGGCGCGCTCTGGCTGCGAACGACATACCGCCAGCCACGCCGCCCACAACCACAAGGTTGAGGGGCTTTGGCGGAGAGTGGATGTCGCCCATGGTGTAGGTGCGCCAAGGGACTGGAATATGGGCGCGAAGTGGAATGTTGAAGAATTGAGGTTTGGACGGTCTTTTGAGGGAGGCGATGAAGGTACCGAACCTTTCTTTGGGCAGTAGGGAAGCTATTATGTACTCTTTGAAGATTCGAAAAGCAAAACTAGAATGGGATCACTAATTGTGGGATAGTCAGCGCAGGCGAGCTGTCGCACTGTTATTCTTTTTCGAAGCATGATATTTTACAATGTTGTCCGTGACATCGCCTGATTCGGGGTGGTCGCGGAGTGGTCGCCGAGATGCTTGGAGCTCGCCGTCTTTGTCCCCCTTAATGTGGCATGATTGGAAAACATTACCACCGCCAAGCGGAAAGCTCGTATTGACCTAGAAAAGCTGATTGGGGCATGCTCTGATGTGTAAGGCGTCAAGAGAAGCGGTAAACAAGTTCGTACAGGGCTTCTGGCTTGTTCGGCCTAGATCACGTGAGTTGGAATGCAGCCTGCCAGCCCTTGGGAGGCCCATACTCCTGTAGTCGTATTTTAGTAATCCTCGTATGATGCAAGCCAGCGGGCCGTAACGTTCTCGAAGGCCTTCAGCCTTCTTCAGGAACGCGCCAGCGAGCATATTTGAAATACCTCCGGCAGTATAGCCCGACAAGTATCCGGAGAGCGTCTCTCATCGGCGAGCCTCCGGAAAACCTCCCCTCAGACCAATTCTGCATCCGTCAGCTTCTGCGTCTGCTTTCGTCCGTGGGGAAGTCTTCGGCGCCGAGCAAGACGAGGACGGATATCGGCACTCAAAGCGGAGGAGCGATAGTCCGGCCAGAAAAGACGCTCTATGAGACGTTTTAAATGCGCCACATGCCGCCACATGGGGTTTTGATGACAAGAAAATCTTGGGAGGCCCTCCAACACGGTGCTCATATCACGTCGCCGTTCGAGATTTACCGATCTCGTCGGTGCTTAGTCCACCCCAGCGTTGCCAGCCGTAAATATGGTTCCGTAGTAGGTATTCAGACGGAAGAATTGCAGCTAGGTGCGAGAGAAAGTCGTCGTAAGGACGGAAGACACGTTAAACCGGCGTTTGGGATGGCGAGAAATTCGAGAAGACGCTAACGGCATATGGCTTAGCTTGCCCGCCGTCCCCAAAGCCCTGCGGGTGACATCACCCAAACATCCATCCTTAAAGTCGGCATTATATATCGCTAGTTTCGCTCTCAAACTACAGCGAGCTTCTTGTACAATCATCCGCCGCCCTGTACAAGCGCATCGAGAGTGAGGTTGAACTACAACACCATCCGGGCAAAGAGTGCTTCGTCAGGCACGAGGTGCCGAAGGCGAGGAGGGGACATAGGATTGGAGTAAGGCGGAGTGGAAGGAGAGGTGTGATTAGATACATCATGCTGGGTGAGGTTGCGAGGCCAGTAGCGCTAGTAGTTGAGAAGGGAGAGGTTGCGTTTAAAGTCGTGTGAAAAGAAAACGTATTTAGTATTTTGTATATCCGGAGTCTATAGGATTGAACCGCTATTTTAGAACGCCTGCAACATCGGCGCGTCCGCCGTAGCCGCACTGGAGGTAGTGTTAACCTTGCACAGCTTCCCATTCTCATCCGGCAGGCCGTCCACACTCTCCACCGTCCAGCCCTCACTACCCACCGCATTAACAGCCCAGAACACGTCCTTCGGATCCCACTCCTTCTTAATCTGCAGCAACCTGGCATACTTGTCGCCCCAAAAGCTCTGCTGCCAATTCGGCTCCAGCCGATCCGCCTCATTGAGATACGAACCACTGCCGGGCGTGACATCGCGCCACTTCTGCATAGTGCCGTTGGTGAAGGATTTCCGCGCTGCGAGGATATCTGCGACGGAGGCTTTGACGTCCCATCTGCGGCCGGCGATTGCGTGGAGGACGGCGTTGCGCCAGGCCGGGTTTACGGCGTTGTCTGGGTTTCCGCCGCGGGCGAGCGTGGGCCCCAAGTTGAAGGCTATGATTGATTGGCCTGCTTCGAGAGTCTGTCGGAGAACGTTGAAGGTGATGTTGCGGCCGGTTTCGCTGTCGAAGTTGGAGCGGGGGAAGAGGCGGGAGCCGTAGGCTGTTTGGACGTCGGATTGGGCCTCTAGCGGGAAATGTGCTTGCCAGGCTGGGTAGAAGCCTTTGTATTCGGTCATGTTGGGAGAAAACGGGATGTTGAGGGCGGTTAGGCGCGAGAAGTATGGCGAGAGGATGGCGGTGGTTTCTTTGGCGGTTTTGTTTGGGGCCAAAAAGGCTTGCATGATGAAGGTGTAGTCCTTTCCGTTGGCGCTGGGTGCCATGATGAGATAGCTGTATGTTCCGTTATCGGCGTTGCTGCTAGCCCGATCGACGAAGGCTTGACTTGCAGCCCAGAACTTGTCTTTGCCGATCGTAGCACTGTCCAGCAGCCATGAGACGGCTGTAACGGGCATGTCCTTGAAAGCTTTGACAGCCACGGAAGTGACTACTCCAAAGGTTCCTCCGCCACCGCCACGCAAAGCCCAGAAAAGGTCTGGGTTGCTAGTTGAATTGGCTGACAAGAACTCTCCGGTCGGCGTCACTATCTCGAACCCGAGGGCTTGGTCAGCGGCCATGCCATAAATTGAGCTCAGCGGCGAGTGTCCACCGCCCTGGATGTAACCACCCATAGCACCAACGGTCTATTGAACGTTAGAAAAGGGCTACACTCTTCGAATCCCCGTGACTTACCTGCCCTGCCCCACCTACTACAACAAGTCCCTTGTCATTGACTGCCTTGTACAAATCAAAATCCTGGACCCCAGCTCCAGCTTTTACCGCAGGGCCCCTGTAGCCCGATTCGTCAACGTAGTTGTCGAAGATCTGAATGTCTTTCAGGCCGTGGGTCCATATGCTGAGTGATCCGGCGCCGACAGACTTTCCGGCAAAGTCATGACCCGTGTTCTTGACAACCAATCGTACTCCATCATTGCGCGCAAAATTAATTCCTAGTTGGATGTCTAGTACGTCCGCAGCCTTAATCACATACGAAGGATATCCGCCTAACGTGCAATTTCCGCTGTCGTAGATTGCTGGCGGTTGGCACGTAAGGCCTTGATATATTGGCGAAAGAACCTCCGTCGGGTCGTCAATGTGCGTGTATGAATTGTTCCAGTTCTTCGTCAATTCCTGACATTTCGCCTCGTTCTTCGTCGTGCCATAGCATACGGATGCCTGCGGGGTGGTCTTGATGAGCGCATCCGTCGTGCTCAGCTGCTTGGCCAGCTTCTGCCATGCCTTATCTGAAGGCCACTTTCCATCCTGGGGACCATAGCGGCATCGCTTGTCGGTCGCGTTCACGGCCAACGTCTCGAACTGGTCACCGAATGCAAACAGTTGCGCGTCTTCTTCGGGTAAAGAGGCCACGTATTCTCTCGTGAGCTGTCGTCTCTCGTAGGGGAATAATATACGTGACTGCGAGGGCGATGATAACAGCGAAGTCGCGAGGAGAATGGAGTGAATAAAGCGCGCCATGGCGTCTTCGAGTAGATATTATGTGATGGGTCTGCGGATCTCGTAGGCTTGGCTCGTGGCCCACGTGCCGTTGTCCAACCTTGGAAGGCCGAGGTATCCGGGACCGCGAGTTGATTGGGGAAGAACGCAGAGAAAACGCCCAGGTATTTCAACGGTTCGCGAAGGAATAGGACGCCTCATCGCCATCTGATGCTTGGAAAATTTCGGTGGCGTTTGGCCTTTATTCCATATTGCACAGAAGCGTTCTCGAAATGCTGTCGGGATGAAAGGGTGCCACATTTATGGCTGAGGCGGCTTTTGTCCTATAGCGGAAGTTTTGCCGTCGCCCAAACGAAGAAACCGGGTGTAGGGTTGTTCCGTAATCGTTGCATATTGCCAGTTTCACCCGGACTTATGGTGATCATTATAAGGCCTGTATATGTCAAGGATTGAGGTTTGCTCGCAGCATTGCAGCATCGTGGTATAAGAGTGGACAAGAATGCGAAGACAATTTATGGTAACTTTCAACACACTGGCGCGGTACCATCGCAGGCGGCTGCTGTAACGCCGGTACATCTAGAGTACGTAGTAGGTAGCATCGTGATGCCGGATGCTCTCCCGGATGAATTCATCTACGCCAGATTGTTAGATTGGAGACGTAATCGCTAAATCGGCTCCATGCAATGTCACGTGTGAAAACTTACCTCTAGACACCCGTGGACTGGACCTGGGTTTAGATCCAGCCATTGGCGCCTCGTGGTTAACAAATCTTGACGTGCGTAGCCCTGAACCGACGCTGCGAGAGGAATAATGCTAAAGTTCATAGATCCATTCGTCCATCTCCATGTAGTGTATGCAGTAACGCGTCGCATCTCGAGCTGAATGACGCAAAGGCGGTCCGTGCACGGTTGCAAGCGCCTACGCCAGTATCAAGGTAGCGGCAGGTGTAGTGATTCTTCAATTGAGAAGAGACGGGATGCGATGGTTTAGAGTCGCGTAGCGGGCGTCGGCCCTGGACGTCATCGCCTAGCCTATACGGGTTTAGCGCGGTTTTTTCCAGCGGAATTAGGCAGCGACCTCGAGGCCAAGATCCCAGCCTTCCGCCTTCAGCCTTCAACCTCATCAACTTCATGGATATTTCTTCACAAATGCCTTCCGAGCTTTCATTACAAGCAATACCTACGCTCCACCGTGAACCAGAGACCTCCGGGCGGCTGTTACGAGTCCCTTGCCGCAAATGCCATCCGTACTCGCGGTTATCTTGGATCGGCTTCGAAAGGCTAGGAAAACATCTCTACGCAAGCAGTCCAAACAGCCTCTGTGCGGTCCTATCGATCTAGTACAGTCCAAACAGCCTCTGCGCGATTCTTTGGACCTGGCCACACCCGGGATTAGCGACGATACTCTTTGTTCCACCTGCACTCCGGTTTGGACAAGCCTACACGTTCGTGACGGCAGGATCTCTTCGTTACCTGAATCCGTTTGCGATGTCTCATGGTGCCTGCGCGAGGTCGCGGAGTCGTCTTGCCCTCTTTGTCGAACCATCCACTGGATGTTCATGAACACTCCGGATAACGAAAAATATGTGAACGGAACAGCTTCTATTATTAACACGTATTACGCCGCTTATGGTTACGGAATCTCCTTAAACTTTCATACCCCAAAGGCCAAACAAGAAATCTCGCGTTCTATGCAAACGTGCCCACACACTCTTCTACCCGTCAACACTGGTCGAGAGTATGTGATCCGGCACATCAAGGACTTCTCCTTCGATCCAGACCTGGTTCGTGGCTGGCTTGACGAGTGCGATTCATGTGCCAACTGCGAGGGCAATTCGAACCCGGGGACCCCTCAAACACACTTCGAGTTCAGATTAATCGATGTCGAACACGAGCACGTCATCCATGCCCAGCCAACCGAACGATATGCTGCGCTGAGCTACGTGTGGGGAGGCTTTGATCAACCCACTCTCAAGAAAGATGAAATATCATTCTTCCAGACACGTGGTAGTCTGTCAGCCCTGCATCTGCGCCTTCCGAAAACAATTCGAGACGCAATGCGGATTTGCGCCTCGCTCGGCATACGCCATTTGTGGGTGGATAGTTTGTGTATCGTCCAAGACGCTTTGGACGAAATTGAGAACCAGACCGCTCACATGGACTGGATCTACAAGGCTGCATATCTCACAATTGTTGTAGCTTCGGGGCGGGACTGCGATTCAGGAATCCCTTCAATCCAACCCCGAGAAAGGTTCCAGCACAGCATTATCGTTGAGGGCGTCAAGCTCGCTACGGCTCCGACCATCGAGCTAATCGAGAAGCGTGTGCAAAACAGTGTTTGGAACACGAGAGCCTGGACCTTGCAAGAATATTCCCTCTCCCGCAGATGTCTCGTTTTCACAACCCAGGATTATTATCTCCAATGTGGACCATATTGTTACACGGAGGCAATTTCGGGAAAGTTCTATTCAATATCTTCAATCCCGACCCTTCTCGGCATCCATCCAACACAAGAATTGAAATTTCGCGTCACGTACGCTGCGATGGTCTCGCTTTATCTAAGCCGACATTTAACGAATCCGGACGACATTATACGTGCATTCCAAGGGATGGCAAATGCACTCACATCAGGATTTGGGGCTTCCTTGTGGGGGCTTCCACACCGCGCTTTCCGGTGGTCTCTGTCCTGGGAAAGCTGGGGCTCAGTGACTGCAAGGCCCGGCTTCCCGAGTTGGAGCTGGGCTGGTTGGGTGAATTCGGGAAACTATGACCTCATGGATAACCGACGTACGGTTAAGTCGCCTCTGGAGTTCCTATTGCACGATAGAGAGGCCATGTGGCCTCGTCACAATGTTTTCGTCTGGCGATCGCCGACATCGGTGGAGCGCTTCGATCATCAATACGACCACCCTATCGAAGACAGGTCCATATGGCCCGTGGAGAGTGACCTAGATGCTTCCCACCGAAGCCAAATGCTTCGTTGGATGTACGACCGTCGCATCTTTAGCGAATCACAGCCCTCCTCGTTATACCACACTCTGTTCCACCATCGCCCTCCCGCGTTTCATGACATGCCGAAGGTCGACGTTAGCCATATCATCACCCTTCTCTCCTCTATAGCCGCGTTTCCATGTGATTTCGATTTCTTTGGGGATGCGGCCTGTACCTCGGAGCCCTCCATACGGAACTCAATAGAATCCTGGACCCTACCCAACCATACAGCTTTCATCCTCCTCGGCCACGGACTCGCGTGGCCTAAGGAGGATATTGATGACTGGAAGAACCCGTACCAAATTATTATTCTGCCGGTCTCTGTCGACGTCCTACGCTGTGGCCAAGAGGGCGATCCTTACGAAGCGGTTGTGCGAAGAAGCGGTAATCCTCGCAGGGTGTCAGATGAGAATTGGTTTAAGCGGGCCAAGGAATGCATCGTGCATCTGCTGTAGCCTTGCGAGAGTGTCTCGCGGAGAAAACGCAACGTCACCTCTGAATTACAAGGGGTGTGCAATGTGTCGGTTAGCCTGCGGCCTGGTTAAACACGGAGCCTCTCGCTAGCTTTCTACAAAGAGGACGGTTCTCGATTCCATTTCGCGCATTCTACTGCTCCAGCTATCATACTACATGCCCGTCATGACCACCATCTTACCGGCAGCGCGGCCAGCGTCCATCCTCTCGTGAGCCTCAGGAAGCTGCTCGAACTGGAAGACCTTATCAATAGGAACAATAGCCGTCCCGGCTTTGACAGCATCGAGATACTCCTGCAACACATGCTGCGGAAGGTCATTAGCACCGCCACCGTACGCAGTCAAACGAACACCACGAGGGAGATACTCGCTAAAGCCGTTCCATCAGCGACAGAAACCACGACGAAGCAGCATCGGAACCTACATGGGATAAAACTCCTTCACGATCCAGTTATTCGACAGCATACCCGTGAAGCACGTCACGCCCTTAACCTTGCACGCCCTCAGCGTATCAGGCAGCGCATCAGTCCCGATCAACTCCAGCGCGCAATCGACGCCTTCCAGGGCAATAGCGCGGACCTTCTCGGCAACATTCCCGTCATCGATGATGATGTGGTCGACTCCAACCTTTTTCAATGCGTCGGTTTTCTTCTCCGTCCGCGACGTCGAGAAGACCGTCATACCGAGCTGCTTAGCCAGGACGGCCGTCGCCATCCCGATGGACGACGTGCCGCCGCGGATGAGAATGGACTCGCCTTTCTTCGCGTCCAGGCCGATGGACAGCGACCCGTAGCTCGTTTGCAGCATTTCGCCCACGCCGCCCAGGAGGGACCAGTCGAGGTCCGAAGCGAAGGGGATGATATTCTCGGCTTTCACGCAGGTGTACTCTGGAAGAGCAGTAGGGTCAGATCTGGTTCTTGCGGGGGCGAAAGGGGGTGTTTCGGCGCACCTGCGTACCCTCCATCGATCACCCGCCCCATCCCGCCCATCATGGCGCACACCTGCTGGCCTGCTTTGAATTCTCCACCCGGGGCCGCTGCGACGACGCCGGTGGCTTCGATGCCCAGGACGCGGGGGAAGATGACGCCTGAGGCGAGACCTATAGCGCGCAAGCGGCAAGTAATCAGCTGTCTTTTGTTCGTCGGGCATGCGTCGTGGAGAGAGCTACCTTTTAGCGTGTGGTGCTCGCTCCTGTTCAGCCCGAACGCTTTCACCCTGATCAGAACCCATCCGGCTTCTGGCGTAGGAATCGGAATCTCCTTGATGTAGAACGAGGACGGCGTGCCGGGTGCATCGAGCATCCAGGCTCGCATTGTTTTTCCGGAGGACGACATTCCAAGGTTGCGAATTTCACGTGAGAGGCGGAGAAGAAGCGGTGATAAATTGACTAGACTAGCCTGAAAGAATGGGATAGATCATTGCAAGAGCAAAGCGAGCCAAGCTGAACGAGCCAAGCTTTTATACACAGACATGCATACAGATATAGCAGCGCAAGTATAGTGGGATGGATGGATGTCGTCAGGAATCGGTAAGCACATGCTCGTGGTGGGCGGCTTCAGTCCGCTTGCGGTAGTGCGTGGCTTGTGTATGTGTTTGTCAGCTTGGAAATGGTAGCGTAAGCTGTCTATCCCACCCTCCATTTTGAGGACCTTTTATCAGGACTTCGGTGCCGTTATGGGGAGATCTCTTGTTTGTCTCTCTGTGGGATCGGTGTGTGTGTGCGTCTGCGATGAATGACCGGTTAGGATGAACGTTCATTGGCTACTGTATACTAGCTGAGGGGTATCGCTGTGAGGGCTGGGGAGAATCAGTGGTCGACTATAGGTAATTGTACCATCTTGAAGCTTTTAAACCCTCATTGCCGGTGTAGTCATCGAAGAAGAATAAGGAGACATGATACTTAGGATATTAACGCAAGGAGGGTTGTGCGAGAAAATGTACCTGAGCAGCGCATCTCGGAACTAGAAATAAGTCCGCTAGCGCGGAATTTGCGCGCCTCGGCTCGGAGAGCTCCTCACTTGCATCCTCCACCGTCGGACATCACCCGTCGGTCCGTTCGCTTCGTTGTATATACTTCAGGGCGCAGTTCTTCAATTGCACAATTCGTTCTCCTTTGACGCGTCTTTAGCCGTCCTTCCCCCATTCCCGTCACAGCAGCGCTCACACACCTCCTCCAGCTCCACCCACCCATCCACCCCCGCCCGCCATGTCCAAACTCGCCCCGAACCTAAAAGCGCTGATAAACGCCGCGCACGCGCGTCCAGGCCCGATCCCAGCACCGCGCCACATCGACGCCATATACAAGAAAATCGAGCAGGAAGCGACGGCGCAGAAACTCGGGCGGCCCTCATGGCTCGCGCTCTCCACGGCCGCGACCATGACGATGAACTCGCCCGAGTCAATGCTCGCGCTGTACAACTCGGCGAGCGCGGCGAAGCCGGCGAGCGAGGGCGTTGCGATCGCGGAGCTGATGCGCGAGGTGGGGTTGAAATGTATTGGGTTTAATGGAGTACGTTCCTCCTTCAGCAGCACCCCTACCGCTCAGGTCGATGACGCTCAGGTCAATGAAGCAACGATATACTAACAGCAAAACAAACAGGTCCCCCGCACAATAAACATGCTCAACGCCTTCCGCGCCTCCCTCCCCCCGGCCATCGTCTCCGCCCTCAGCACCGCCCCCACGCGCCTGCCCACCCCCTCCAACGTGTCGTCGATAAACACCCGCGGCCGCGCCCTCTGGGACTCGATCTACCGCCCGCTGAGCCAGAAACTCGAGGCCAAGCTCGCAGACGCGCACCCCGACCTGCCCGTGTTTATCATCAGCAGCGAGTACGGCGCGCTGTTCAGCGACCCGCCACGCGCGACGGGGGGGAATGTGGGTAGGGTGACGACGAGCCTGGTGGCGATTGCGTGTTTGCGCGCGCAGCAGGGGGTTGGGCCGCAGGTGCTGAGCCATGTGTTTGGGCTGCGGAAGGCGTGGGAGGATGGGAGTTGGAGGGATGATGGCGGGGCGGGAGAGGAGGAGGGTGTGAGGTGGTTGGTTAGTGATGAGGGGTGTGTGTGGGTGTTGGAGAAGGTGGATGAGGTTGTGGAGGCGCTGGGGGGTGGGCGGGGGTCGACGTTTGCGCCGGTTAGGGCGAAGCTGTAGAGGGGAGATGATGTGCGGGGGCGACGTTGGATGGCTGGCTCGGTCGGCCGGTTGTGCGCGGTCGTCGACCAGACACGCGCTGGTGGAGGAGTGTCGAAGATGCAATGTTAGTCAACAGCGGCCTGCGTCACTCTTCATACCCGGCTTTTGGCAGAACTGTTTTGATCTCCCGGCATGGGTTTGCTGGACGCTCTCGGCTCTGCTGCATCTGTCCAGGTCTTCGCCTGCAGCGTCGCTTCACAACCGCGCATGTACCTTGAGGTCCGGGAGAAAGAGAAAGAGAAGAAAGAATCCATCACGGACGTGTGCTTCCTAGACGACTATTACCGACCTCTTGGGTTCGAGCACTCTACCACGTCGACGTCGCCCAAAGACGTTTCCGTGGACAAAGGTTCCTACAGCAAGCGCGACATGCCAAGGGGCTTTATGCGGTTTCAGAAGGCAAGGTCATGTCGACGACACCTTCCGGTCGGGTTGTAAAAAGAAGCCGGGCCTCAGCATCTCCACGCAGCAGATAAGCAAGCTGGTAGCAGGGAATTGAAGACAAAATACATTCTTTCCTAGTTCTTCAACTCTTGTCTCTGTCTGAGTCCATGTCGCTTTCCAAACACAACTCCCCCTTTTCCCCCGACGAACATCTCTCCCTACAACTATCCTCACCCTCCGCTCCCACCATCTCGCCTCTCCCAGCGCCAAACCCAATACCCTAAAACACAGCCTCCCGTCTCAGCTCCCAATAATGCAGCGCCTGCAACACACCTATCCTCGCTCCAACACTCGCATCCCTACCCAAATTAGCCTCCGCCCACCCCTTCAACTCCCACCACGCCCCCAGCTCCTCCGGCAGACCCAGTGGCGCGTAAACCACACGCAGCGCGGCAGGAAACGGCTTCGGATCTATGCACGCGCCGACGCTCTGTCTATTCTCGATTAGGAGCTTTTGCGCTTCGAAGACGGGTTGTTCGCCGTCTGGCTGCGCCGTCGCCCGCGGAAACAAGCCAAGATCATATCCAGCATCGCCCGAAGTACACGGCGCAGTATCGCGAAAATCCCTATCAACCTGAGCACACGAAATCATCGTCGGCGGGCGTAGCACGTCGGGCAGGACGCGCCGCACCAGCTCGTTCGCGCGTATACATACCTTTAAAAAACCCCCCTCCTCCAAGAATCCGCGGCCTCACCGCACCCCCCTCATCCCTCGCATACTCCAGCACGCACAAATACTCGCACCCCTCCCCAAGCTCACCAAACGGCCACTCCCACCCCCCTCGCAGCAGCTTATTCTTCCCGCTCACCACACTCCGCAGCGCCGCGTCGGGCTCCGCGTGGTCGACGTAGAAGCGCGTGTTGGCTGACAGCGTGCCCGGGCAAGGTACCGCGTCGCGGACATAGTTCACTGGGGAGCTTTCCATCAGCGGTCCACATACTTCGAGCGGTAGCGGGGTGTGCCCGTCGCCGGTGGGGTTGGTCGAGTAGTCTGCGCGGGAGGGCAGGGTTTCGATGCCGCGGGCGAAGACGCGGAGGAGGGCGCAGAGCGTGTAGGGGTGCGTGGTTAGGACGCCGATGACGTCTTTTTGCTGCTGCTGCTGGTGGCTGGTGCCGATGCCGATGTCGTAGTGTTGGGTGAGGGTTTGGAGCATCTGTTTCCTTTGTTAGTGTCATCCTCTTCTTCTTCCGACGACGACGACGACAAGCACGCAAGCATCAATAGCAGTGGTTGGGGAAACGCACCTTCGTACCCACCCGATTCCCCCTCCACCCGCGCACCACCAGCAGCTGCGCGATCCACCACACGCGGCGCTCCCCCTCGCCATCGTGCCGCCAGCAGCTCGCGAAGCAGTGTCCGACGAGCTCGCCCTGCGGTGTTAGCGCGCAGACGAGCGTGTTGGATGCGCCTGGAGGGAGGGACTGTTGGGCTAGGCGCGCGGCGCTCATGCGGACTGGGTTTCCTGGGGGAGCGGGGGAGAGTTAGCGCGGCTCGGCGAGGGAGAGGGAGAGGTGGTGGGGCAGTACCTTTTCTAGCCCAGGGACCTATTTCTCGCGCTGCGTGCATGCTCCAGACGCCGTAGTGCTGGGAGAAGTTCGTGGCGCAGGAGTCGAGGTGGGTGTGGGTGATGAGCGGGCCGGGGATTATGCGGTAGGTGATGGCGGAGGAGGAGGAGGATGAGTCGGGGTGGCTGCTACAGAGACTGGATTGCGGCGTTGGGTCTGGGATGGTGTAGTCATGCTGTGAGAGGTCGGAGGGGGTGTGGAGGTGCATCTTACGGATGGGGGATAGGAATGGGGAGATGGTGAGGGGTGAGGGGGATGGTAAGGATAGCAGGAGCAGAGAAGGGGCGATGAAGATGGAGCAGAGCAGCGTGGTGGGAGATGGAGAAGTTTATACCCGGGTTACGAGCCGAGGAGAGAGAGAAGAATGGAAAGAAAGGGGAGAGAAGAGGAAAATCCGTTTGTTGGGCGTGGGATTTCAACCTTGGGAACGATTCCAGCTTTGAGAACGATCTCAACCTTGGGAGCGACTTGGGACGGGCACAAACTCTCGTTGGGCACCGACTGCCGAACCTGAGGCTTCACGGGCGCACTCCTCAGAACAATCGTGTCAGCCACGAACGTCCAGTCTTGTTATAGGCAGGCCAGTCTTCCCTACCCTTCATCCTTCCGCCCCCCCAGTTATCCCTCCTACATGGACACGCCGAATCACCTTTACAGCCCCCATCTCTCCCTCGCCATCATAACACAACCCGCGATACAATCTACTCCTCCCCCTCACAAAATTCTCTGCCGCAAACCCATCCGCCACAGCCCTCCCAACATCCGCATCCGAAACCCTCTTCCACCACTGTGCCACCGTGTCCCCTGGCGGTATCCTCTTCAGCCACTTCCTCACCTTCATGCCCCCCTCCCTCAGCGGCAACGGTGCTCCAGGTAGCACCAGCCCGCGCACCGCAACCGGCTCGCCGCCGCGATACAGCACGCGCGCCCACTGCCTATTCTCGCCAATATACCGATCCGCATATATCAGCCCGGCATACTTCCTCCCCAGCATTCCCGCGAAAAGGGGTCGAAGCTCCTCGATATCACTGCTCCTGACACTCTCCCACGTCGCCGCCAGAAACCAGCGCTCCACCCAGCCCATGTCCACCGGCACCCCGATGCCGGGGAACGCATGCATCTCGACGCACTCGGCGGCGAGCAGCGCGCCGACGCAGCTCCGCTTCAGCGGGAAACATGACACGTCTCCGCCGAAGACGTATTCCTGCCACGAGTAGCCCGCCTCGGGCATGTAGTCGCCCGGGGAAAAGTACGGCTCTGGCACGTCTCCGTGCAGCATGAGGAAGAAAGCGTGCGCTACCTCGTGCACGAGAATCTTCGCGATGTGGAATTGCAGCCGCAGCTCGCTGCATGCGCCGCCCGCTAAGCACGCTCCGCGCGGCGAGAGCAGGTGGTACAAGAACAGCGTCGGGACACCGATTACCGGCGCGACGGGTGCGCGCTCTGCAGCCGCTATCCACGCCTCGCCATCACCTCCACCGCCTTCGTCGTCGTCGTCGTTACTACCAGCCATCCGCCCAAGCGCCCACCACTTATTAACGCTCGTCACCGCATCGCCGCTCTCCACCGGCGCCCAGTAAAACCGCACCACCCCCGCCAGCCTTGCAAACGCATCCTCGAGATCCCTCGCCGCGGTGTCGAGATCCGCTTCCCGAGACTCGTCGGGGGCGAGCGTGCGCCGTCCCGTGCTGGAATCGATGCTGTACCGCCCGTATAGTGCGTGGATCCACCACCCGCGCAGGCTGGCGTGCGTGAGCCACTGCGTCGCGAGCGCGAGCGCGGGTTGCATGCGGGTGTGCGCTGAGCTGACGAGGGAGGCGGGCAGGCCTGTGTGGTCCCAGTGGGAGAGGGCGAAGAGGGGGTGGATGTGTGTGGGGGATTGGGGGATGGAGGATTCTGGGGGGTGGAGGGGGATGGTGAGGCAGTGGGATGCTTGGAGGATGATGGTTTCTGGGAGCGCATGCTGCTTGATGGGTGTGTAGGTGAGAGGTGAGTGTTGGGTGGCAGTTGCAGAGGCGTGTTGGTCGTGCAGGAGAGCGGTGAGGTGCGTGTTTTTAGAGAAGGAGGTGTGGAGGATAGGGTGGCCTTCGAGCGGCCAGGGGGAGGGGTGGGGCGCCACGGTGGGTGAGTGGTGGTTGCGTTTGGAGATAGGACTAGGGGTTATTTGTTTGTTTGTTTATTCGTTCGAGTGCGTTGATCTGCGAGGGTGCGTCGAGCTGGGGAGATTGCGGCGATGAAGCAAAATAGCATGGACAAGGTAGGTCTTTAAAGGGGTACTAAGAGGCTACAATTTATTCTGCCTCTGTTGCTGAAGGAATCCCTATAAAAGGGAGACAACATTGCTGAAAGAGCTACTATATCCATCGGTGGCAGCGACTCGAAGTGTAGCTTCAGTAACAAAATTTACGCTAGTTATGACTTCCCCTTCCCCTTAGTGAACTAAACTCCTCTCCCGAGTATCGTTTTACTTTCACGAGCCCTGGCCAAGTCTAAGCCTAGCACAGCACAGCATAGTACAGCATATCACAGTGTGACGGTCCGGTTCGGGGATTTACCTTGGGTCACATGACCTCGGGTCACGTAATCTTATCACGTGACCTGACCTAGCGCCTTGGCGCTCGGCACCTCTGTATATAGAGCCTCTCGGAGCCTTTTCTTAACTCCTAACCTTTAGATAGCTAAATTTAACCTAACCTACTCTGCTAGCACCTCTTATTCTTATAGCTCGTAAAGATAGTACTACCTATAGCTAACTTACCTAGCTAGGTGTTCTAGAGGCGCTTACAGTAGTAGAGACTATAGACCTAGCCCTTATATTATCTAAAGGTTATTACCTCTTTAGCTAGAGATAGTAGTATAATATTAGGCTAAACTAAGTAGCCTTATAAGAAGCGTTTACTAATAGCTATACTAAGAATTAGAGCTATAAAAGCCTAGTTGCTTACTCTAAGAATCTATTAACGTACTAATTAATTGCTTACCTCTTAGCGCTATATAAGACTACTAGCGAATCTAGTTAGTAGTAGAAAGATACTAGTACTAAGCTAAAGAGAGCTATTAAGAGCTTTATATATAAGAGAACTTCTATAGAACTTCTACGTATAGAAACTTCCCCCTCTTTTTTATAAATTATAAAAAATTAACAACCTACTACTCTGCTAGTAGCTAAATACCTCCTCTCTTTACTTCTTTCTTAATTAAAAAGCTAAATAAATCTAAACACTATAGAAGAACTCTCGCGAAGCTAATCTAGAGGCAGAACCTTAGCTCTATAATACCTCTTTACTCTAATAGTTCTTAAATCTAGAGTAGCAAACCTGCTAGTAGAATATACTAATTAATATTTCTACTATAAAAACTCTATTTAGTAATACAACGTAATAACTAATAAGAATTAGAATAATAACTTTAACTAGAAGCTTATAAGGCTCTACTAGAGCTTAGTAATACTAGAGCTATTATTAGCCTTAGGTTTATATATACTTTCTACCTCTACTAAAGAGCTTTAAGAGCTCTTTCTAGAAATGCTAGCTAAAATTATTAATAAAATAGTTAGCTAATTATATATATAATAGGTATATAAACAATAAATTTATATATATTACTAGATTGCTACTAACGCTCTTGCTAAGAGAGATAATATATACGCAAGATATTAGACATAGGCTACTACTCTAGCTAAAAAAGACGCTAAAATTTAGTAACTATAAGCGTAATTAACCTACTCTAGAAACTAGATACTACCTACTACGCTAGTTTAACGCGCGACGCGTTTCTCTATAATACTAATTATACGTAATTTAAGTGTATTACTACTAGAGAATTTAATCTTAGGTTCTTACCTCTTTATATACTAGCTAGCTACATCTCTAGCATCGCGAGCGCTAGAGAGCTAACTAACGCGCTCTACTAAGTTTCTAGATCTACT